ATCCTATTCTGTTATATTTAGACAGAATAGTCAAAAAAGTGGCAGGGTGACTCACTAAGTTAAATGTTTTATTGCAAGCCTATGCTTTTATGTTGGTAGCTTGAAACCCAAGCAATGGTGACTAGTAAAACTGAGGAGACCAAAGGGCGTGTGCACACAAGTGTGTCAGTGCTATGGCTTCCTGAAGCTCATATGACTAGAAGGGCACAGAACTTAGGTGCAGGTCTGTGAGATGATAACACCCCTGCTTTTGCTACTATGTGGTCTCATTTGTTGGGTATTTCTGGTCTGTAAGACTCATCCACCTCCCCCCCCCCCCACACCTAGCTTTGATTTGATTTACATTCTTCTGCCCCTGTTGTCACTTCCACAAAGTGAGATCTTAAGCAGGACTGTAACCTAATAGCCTGAAATACAGGATTTGGTGCTATTCTTAGGGTTTAGTGACTGTAGACAGCATAACACAGAAACAAACCTGTGCAGCTGAAGAGTAGCAATGTGATCAGATGTCACCACAGGACACTATACAATGCCAGGCTATTCCGTGGCTCTTTTACTGAGTGCAGTTTGATTAGTAAATTGGACTTTCTTGGTCATAGCTAACTGAAACAGAATGGAGTTAGCCTACATGATCTGACTGGGAATAAGTAGGAATTCTTAATTCTATGCTAGTCTCAAAAGTAAAGGGCACAACTCTCTTCCCAGCCTTCCCATAACAAAGGCAATGGATCCAACTGCTTGGCTTAGGAGGACCTATACTACTCAGTATAGAAATCTGGCCAAGCCTAGGTCTAATAAGACATCTGCACCTTACAGAATCCTTGGACAGGTTTCTTCTGCTCTAGATTTATTGTCTATGCTTAGCAGGAGTTAGATAAGACATATTATGAAAGCACTGCTCCTGAAAAATAGAATCTTACGATTCAAAATTCTTAGCAAGGACAGGCAGAAGTGCACACTTACAACCTAGCACTCAGGAGACAGAAGCAGAAAAATTTCAAGTTTGAGGCAAGTCTAAGCTACACAGTAGAGTTCAAAGCCAGCATGAGCTACACAGGGAGACCCTGTCTCAAAAACAAACAAACAGACAGACAAACAAAGCCAAACTATGTTGGGATGTAGCTCACAGGTAGAACATCAGCAACACATGCAATTACCATGGGCAGGGAAAAGAAAACAAAAACAGAGTAACACTAAACTAAAACCCAAATAAATAACTACAGACAAAAAAAATCCACCCAAACAGCAATAACAAAAGTCAGTGACTTCTTCCTAGCATCATGGAGCAATCATGGCTTATCCTGAAGAGGGAAACAGGGCAGAGAGGAAGCAAAGGAACCAGATGGTTCACCGACGGCTACACTTAAAACAGCAACACACCCACCGCAGCAGCTGACTAGCTAAAAGTAATGATGACTCTTTACATCTACTTCAGGTCCTAGACTCCCCAACTAGAAGCAGAGACCAGAGCAGGTGAGTGGTCAGGTCTTTACTCAGAAGTACAGCCTGAAATTGTCAGTCCTGTTTCATAGACTAAACAAGTTTAGTCTCACTGGACCTTGGCTTCCTTTTCTGAAGGTCGTGTTCAGTTATAAAACTGTCAGCCACTCTGAGAGCTAAGTGACATAAGAGACTTGAGTCTGAGTTCCTGACAACCTCTACTCAAAGGATTCAAAGGATGCTGCCTTTGAGAGGCCCTTTGGTGAGAAAGAGTTCCTGGTACCACTCTACCTGTTGGGGACTGCACTTTTGAAGGGCAACATGAGGAACACATCTGCCAGAAGACATGGTACCTCAGCACTAGCCGTGCCTGTGCTGGCCAAAGAGTAACAGAGAAAATACTACATACATTAGGACCATCTAAATGTGACATGGGGATAGTAATTGAGTTGAATATTCCAGGTGGGAAAAGATTTGTACACCAACCCTTCATGACAGAAAGTACTACCTTTAAAATAGCTCCAATTTTGGGACTTCTGCTTCTGCCAGATCCCACATGACAACACCACCAGAAATGAGAGACCCATGAAGAACCAGGAACTCACCTTCCACACCTTAGCTCTGTCCTGTGAGTCACATGATGATTCAAAGGAGGGATTTTTTTTTTTTTTTTTTTTTTGGTTTTTCAAGACAGGGTTTCTCTGTATTGTTTTGGAGGCTGTCAGTCAGCCTGCCTCTGCCTCCTGAGTGCTGGGATTAAAGGCGTGCGCCACCACCGCCCGGCCCAAAGGAGGGATTCTTAGATCTCTAGGGACTCAGAGGACTAGGCATTATATTCCAGGTGAAATTCAAATCATAACCTCCTGACTTCTATTATTATTAATAAATATAACAAAGATCAATTGTCTTAAAGAGATCACAACATTTTAAATTTACCATACAAAATAATTAAACTGTCTTTGGTAGGGTGGAACAAAAAATGTTAAAGAACATATCATTAAAATATATTAAACAAAAACAAAAATAGAGCTGGTCTACAGAGCTAGCTGTAAGACAGCTAGAAAAAGCTTGTCTCGAAACAATAAAAACAAACAAAATATTGTAAAAAAAATCTAATGTGCAAAACGCTTAAATATGCAAAAGAAATTAACAAGTAACCTGTGGTGGTCTGAATAAAAATGGCCCCCATAGGCTCATAGGGAGTGGCACTACTAGGAGGTGTGGCCTTGTTGGAGGAAGAATGTCACTGGGGCTGAGCTTTGAGGCTTCAAATGCTTAAGTCAGTCCCATGTCTCTCTTCCAGATGTAGAACTCTCAGCTTCCTCTCCAACACCATGTCTGACTGAACATCTCCATTCTTCCTGCCATAGCAATAATGGACTAAACCTGTAAACTACAAGTCAGCCTTAATTAACTGTATGCCTTTATAAGAGTTGCTGTGGTCATGGTGTCTTTTCACAGCAATGAAAAACCTTAACCAAGACACTTCTATACTCCATCCAATAACTCTTAAAGTTTTAAAATACCATTCAAAATTCTGGGTGGAATATAAAGTTGGGTGGTAGATCACTTAACTAGTATGCACAAAGCCCTGAGTTTGATGCCCAGCACCACAAAAATAAGCAAATAAACATAAGAAGCAGAGAAAGCACCTTACACAACCACAACACCCGCAGCACACCAAACAAAATGAGTATTAGTACTTCAGACACATCAAGAATCAGACTTCAGCCATCTAATGTGAGTTCTAGTGACATTTGCAACAAGACTCCCACAGACACCTGGTTATTATGTTGTGTGGGTCTCTCTATACACAGCACCCTGTCTTTTCTACTACTTCATTTCTCCCCAAGGGCTTATTGTAGAAATTATGCCTGTTGTCTTGAGCTTTGTCCCACATCTGGACTTTTGTTTTGTCTTATGGGGGCATTAACCCTGTAACTCCTCTATACTCTGCATTTTCTAGGACTAGAGACTGCATTCAGACTGGATTGAGTTTAGGTTCAATTTTCTAGTGAGGACACTTAGGGATTTGGGCTGTGCCACTCCAGGAGCACACCAACACTGACCTGTAAGATAAAAGGCTCTTGGGCAGCATCAGAAAATACCTTTCTTTCTGTTGAAACTAGACCTACTACTACGTAAGTTCATTTTGAGTAGCTCTTAGTATAATATATAACTGTGATGGTTAATCTTGACTGTCAACCTGACTGGATTAGAATCACCATGGAGATAAACTTCTCTGTATGTCTCTGTAGCTGCTTCCAGAAAGCTTTAACTGAGGAGGGAAAACGTGAATGTGGATAGCACCATCCAATGGGCAACAGTCCAAACCAAATAAAAAAGGCAAAGTAGGGCCAGCGTGATGACCTGATGACTGGGGTTCAATCCCAAAACCCACAAGCCATCTTCTTATCATCATTTCTTCCTCACTATGGATGCAACACACTCTTGCTGCCACAAGGGACTGTAAGCCCTTCCTTAAGTTACTTTTGCCAGCAATGGGAAAAGAAACCTACATAATAAACTTAGCATTAAAGTTCAATCTATTGACCTACTTAATTATACAACTACCTAAAAGTTACCTAGCTACTCAGTGAGAAACTACTAAAGACACTGAGCCAGGACCTCCAATGCTCTCCATCAAATTGGTAGGACAGCAAGAGGCAATAAGCTGAGGCAGCGCACCATGATCAACAAATTCGACAAATGCATAGGTGGGTGAAAAGAAGGATGAGCATCGAAGATGTCATAGTGTAAGTTCCCTGGGGTAGTTATTTTTATCTGATCTATTCCCTGCCATATCTATCTTTGAAGTCTAAAAATTAGCCAAGCACAGAAGTAGTTAATTAGTATCTGCCTAATACATGGGTGAGTCAGGACTTTGTGACCAATGTCTGTGTGTCTGAACAAATGCACTCTTCCTTTCTCAGTGTTTGTGGAAGCAGGGCTTGTGTAGAGTGAGGGGTCACTCATTGAGACAGACTACACAAGGCCAGGACCCCCAAAGTGAAGCAAGGGCTTGGGAAACACAGAGGTGGCTGAGGTCTGGTATTTTGAACTTGTTCCACATAGGGACAACTGGTACTGGGCAGCACTTAGACAAGAAGCACTTTAAGGAAACATGTGATGGCAGATGCTTTGAAAACAAGCAAGACTTGGTTTTAGAAAAACCACTTAGGAGCAATGAAGATGAGGAATGGCTTTATCAGTAGGAATAAAAAAGCAGAATGTCTGAGGCATTAAAAATATAAAAAGCAACAGGCTGGAGAGCATCAACAGGATAGAGGGAAAGCTGAAGAACACTCACATTTGATATCAAACAGTCATAGAGCATGTCAGTGTTTTCACTCCTCCCTGAACTCTAAAGGTTTAGTCCCCTCCTACCATCTTTATGTGAAGAGACCTCTTCAGACCTCTAGTGTAAAATTGTACCAGAGATGTACCTCAAAATCATGGAGGAAGCTGCCACTGGGTCTAAGATTAACTAGAGATCTTGTTGGAGTATCCATGCAAAATCTCCCTCCCACTTTACATGGCAACAGACTGCTTCCACTTACCTTCCCCAAGAGGGCAAGCAGGCAGCACAGGGACTTGCCTCTCTGGTGGAGAAACATCTGTTCTTTCTGTAGATGAGGAAGACCAAGGAGAGTGAAGAAGGTATCTGACCTACAACCTGCTCCCCAGTGTGGACTTAGAGGAAGCATACGCAGCAGTGGCAGTTTGCTGGTGACAGGCGCCACACAAAAAGCTTCTAGTTTGAAGTGTAACAGGGATGTATTTCTCAAGGCCCAGAGCATGTTCTCCAATGGATCCATACTTCATGAAGTAAGCTAGGAACTGTATATTCTAAATACTCACAAAGGTGTTTAGGCAATATTCCTGCCTAAATGGGTCTCCAAGGAAGAAGCAAAAATTAGCCTAAAGGAACCAGGTACAGCAGAACAAGTGTGTATATTTGAATTTGAAACTAGCAGCCACCTCTAGCTCCCTGTGGTAGAGTTTGAATAAGAATAGCCCCCATTAGCTTTTCCATTTGAATGCTTAGTAGTCACTAGGGAGTGGCACTATATGAAAGAATTAGGAGGTTTGGCCTTGTGGGAGAAAGTGTGTCACTGGGGGGGGGGGGGCTTTGAGGTTTCAAAAGCCCAAACCAAGCTCAAGGTCCCCCCCTGGCCCCCACCCCAAGCGTGTGCTTTCAGATCAGCCAGAGTTCCCAACTACTTCTCTAGCGTCATACCTGCCATGCCATGCTTCTTGACAGGATAATGAACTAAACCTCTGAAACCAAGCAAGCCCTCAATTAAATGCTTTCTTTTTTATAAGAGTTAACAAGGTGTATCTTCTTGGTAATAGAACAGTGACTAAGATACTTGCCTAAATAATATGAAATAAAACAGTTCTATATTTGGAAATGATGAAAAAGAAAAAGCAACAGATCCCTTAGCAATTTCTTCTTTTGATTTGAAAAGGCTCTCTCATAGTACATCTGACTTTTTTCCTGGAGTTAGTTTGCTCGATATTCCTAGGATTAGACACTATTTAATTTATTTAATGGAGACCACCAGCCAGCCATATTTCTCTTCAAATAAAAACACAGAAGTGACAGAGGCATAATCTCTGGGGGCAAGGAGCCTGAACTGTGTACTGCTAACAGGAACTCAGCTGTGGCTGGAAGGCCAGGAAGAGGCCCACTGATGATAGTGAGACCTTTCTACCTCTGGATGCCAGAACTGTGCGCACTGTCAGTGTTCTTCTAGAGAAACAGAGCCTTGCCATCTGAAGATTCCCTAGTGAAAAGGCCAGGTACCTGGGATCCCTGGACAGCCAGGCAAGAAGAGCTGCCTGCCCCTGCAAATGGGCTCCTAAGGGAACATCATTAACTGATTTAGAACAAAGCAGATGGCAAAGGATGACTGGACTATATGGGAATCCACCAATGTGAGAAAACAAAGCCAAAAGAACAGAGCCATTCAGAGAAAAGACAGAAACATTCCGAATCTGGTGGCAAGGGAATGCACTGTATTCATGAAACAAAAACAAAATAGCATATCGAAATAAGGAAGAATAAAAATGTTAAGAGCTAAACTGAAGATTTTTAACAGAAAGGTTAGAAAATAAATCCAAGGTCTCCTCCAAAGTACATCAAGGACACAGGAAAATCAGAGACAAGAATAATCTAAAGCCTAACCAATGATGCCACGCAACTATAAGAAGTAGGGAGAGAGATGCCCATCAACTACAGGGAAGAGGGGAAGATGCCCATGCAACTACAGAGAAAAAGAATGGGCTAAGTACAAAAGGATGAGTAAAGGTGATTTCCAGAACTGCCAGAAGGCTATGAAATGTCTATGGAATATAAACACTCAATTCCCAGTTATGAGACTGTAGACTCCAAGGTGAAGAAGCTTCTAAAACCTCCTGCATGGGAGACAAAGAAAATAGGTCCTTGTAAAGGAGGACTCTGGGTAGGAGAAACACAGGGAGTCATCATGTAGCCCACCAGAGAAGTAAGATGTCCGTCCAGTAAGAGAAATACTTAGATGGGTTAAATACTTAAGCCAGAGCTAGCCAGTAAGAAGCAAGGCCAACAGCTTCATAATTAATACAGCGTCTTGTGTTATTTGGGGACTACAGCGCGGCAGAGCCCAGGCAACTGGTGGGGAAAAAACAAAGCGGCTAGCAAGAAAAAGGCTTCTCTCTACACACAGACAGGTACCACAACACAAGAGTAAAACCTTCAAACCTCAGAGACAGATTTCCAGTCCCCACTGTAACCCTCACCTGCAGAGAGAGTTATTTTCAGCTCTGCACTCTTTTCTGGACATAAGGCTTAGGGTAGACAGGTTAAGAGGTCGTGTGGTTAGTTTCTTTATACACTAACCAAGGTGCCCAGACTCAACCTTGGTGAAGGGGTCCTGGACTGTACAAGTGGAGAGAAGGGGGCTTAGCCTATGCCCACAGGTATTCATGTTCTCTCTGTTCCTGCCTTGATTTATACACATCTGTAACTTTGGAACTATAAGCTTTCCCAAGTTGCTGTTTGTCAGGACACCTTATCATGGCAACAGAAATGAACCCAAGATAAGGAGCAAGGTATGTGTAAGCTGGGTGTGGGCAGCCAGCAGGGAGTCCCAGTGAGGCGAGTGGTGGAGAGATCCTCTGGGCAATCACATCTAGCTGACAGATGTTCTGACAGAGCAACCCACAAAGAGTAACAAGGGTTACAACACTACAGGTGCAGAGGGCAAGTCATAGAAGCCTCATTTCCATCAGAAAACAACAAAATTGCAGAAATATTCTAGAACAATATTTGACCTAGCAGGCGGTATAGTTGCGAAAATGTAAGTACCAGATAATAACGTCAGTAACTTACTTGAGATATAAATCGTGGATCAGTATCTGACCTCACACTAACACCATGGCCCTGAGAAACACACTGTCGTGAATAACCACTGTGCTCAAGGGTCAGTGATCTGCTTTGTGCAGGTACCAGAGGATGAGGGAGATACTCAGGAGCTGAAGGATACAATGAGGAAGCAGGCTCTGAGCAAGCAATGATGGTTCTTGCTCCCCTTACCTTCCTTCTCCACTGTGGCAGAATCTTATATCCTGGGTATTTTGAGCTTTAAACAGGGATGGATGTTTTGGTCTTTAACACAGAACTGAGTGGAAGAGAGGTGTAACAGCAAGAAGCAGCTGCACTCGGGCTGAGGCAAGGACAGGAAGGCTGGGAAAGCAGGCCTCCTCAGTCCCCAGCACGTTTTTTCACCCCTACTCCCTGGAGGCTCTAGGAATTTCCTGCTACTTTCCAGGGTACCGAGAGACAGACTTCAGCAATGGAAATTATTCCACATCGAGAATAAAATTTATAAGGCAAATTTGAAAAAAAGGGGAGGGGGTATGTCAATATGAGGTTTTATATAAAAATGCTAAGGTAGAAGCAGGCCAGAAAGTTGGGCTGGCAACGGGCATGAGAAAAATTCTGTTTTTCATTGTGAGCTATTCTATGCAGTTTAATGTTTCCACATCTATGGATGATATTAACTTGATTAAAAAAAATAACAGCAGACATTCAAAGAGTTCACTCCATGAGTTGGCCACTGCTACAGACGTATTACAGGTGACCTCCTTTACCCTCACCCAGGCAGGGCAGCCCCTTACTGGCCCCCATTTAAAGATGAGAAAATGTGAATATGGAGAAGATAAGTGACCGCCAACATCTCTTGGGCCAGGGCTTAGCCTGTGTGAACCACACAGTCTGGAGAGTTTAACTTTGAAGGTAGCCAGGGAAGGATAATCTCACAAATTATTATGTGGAAAGTTGTCGGATTTCACCTATGAATAAACCCTGACAGTCAAAACCAATCAGTCTAACAGACACCCGTAGATAGCGAGCATTTATTTTCTCATCTCTAAAATCCTATACTTTTCTATCAACACAAAAACACCGCCTAAACAGCAAGAACAGCAGAAAAGAAAAAGTTGAGAAAAAAATTGCAGTCACACAAACTGTAGTTAAAAAATGACTAAGTTTCCTTGATATATGAATTTGTTGGAAAACCATTTATCAACAGCCTGTTTCTCTCTAGCAGAGTCCCTCAAGCCGAGAGCCATGTCATTCCCCTTTGACTGATTAATTAGCCAATCAGGGGACATTTTTCATTGTGAGGCATGATGGTTTATTGCAGCTAATGTTTGGTCTCTAATGGCAACATATTAAAGCCAACTCGGCTATTTTAGCCCCGTGGAGTGACCAAAAGGAAAGGATAGGAGATAAATCAAGAGTGCCCTTCAGTTTCCCTTCAGTCCTTAACAAAACCCCCAAGGAGCAAATGGATAGAAGTGAGCCTCTACCAACAAAGAGAAAAACATATAAAAGAAAGCACAACTGCCTTCAAGCCAAGGTAGACCTTTCTGTTTCTGAGAAGCAGTAATTTATCCTCTGTGATTAACAGATAGAACGGATACCTAAAGTCAATAGCTTCATCTTCCTTCTACCACAAGCTGGGCTCGATAGGAAAAACGGCTCTGCAATGTTTCTTGCTCACTGCAATGATTTCTCCTGTGCTCTGGATTCAGAGCTAGCAAGTACCCCCAAGGCCAATTCTACCCCCACATCCTACTCCTGCCATACAAACCCGGAGCCACAAGGTCCAAGGGTCTCCTCCATCCTGAGGCCTTTGGCAGGCACTAACACACAAGGAAGCAGACATTCAAATGCAAAGGAGAGAGGATCTAGCTGTTCATATTCAGAAGGTAACACTCTTAGTACAGAGATGGATGGAAGAAGCAGCAGGCTATGCAAGTCCACACACAAGCATGGAAAACTACCAGCCTTCTTGGCATCCCAGTAAAGCCAAAGACAACTAGCAGTCTATAAGAGCAGACACAAAAGTGCTCTGCCTGTTCGGAGAGTATTTATTGCTGTCATCTCAGCATGGGAGATGCAGTTTTATGCATCTTAGAATCTTGACAGTTTCCTTCATTCCTTTGCCTCAAAGACTACTCAGTCTCACGGGCAAACACTGGAGTTTGGGATCTTTTCTGTACCAGAAGCACAGCAGCCCTCAAAGCTTGCCTCTACTCCTACTTCTGTAGCTTCTCCTGCCATTAGCATAACCAGGGTCTCCATGTGGGTTTCTTGGTGCAGTAGTTCAAGGGGGATGACTCCAAGCAAATGTTCTCGCTCAGACAGCCTCCAAAGCCCCATAGCATCCCCACAGCCAGTCTATCAGCCACCAACAAGTCAAAGCTGCACAAGGACAGTTGGCCTCCACTGTCCTAGGAGGAGGTGACAAGGGCATGTTGTGGCCCTCAGTGGCAAACAGAATCTGCTACTAGAACATATAATTTAGCAGTCTTATTTCAGAGGTAAGAAAGCTGAGCTTACAGATAAACCAGCAATATCGGAGACAACTACCTAATCCTTCTCATTGTCTTGAACAACCATTCAAGATCTTTCAACCCACCCTTTGGAGAAACAAGGTATGTGGACAAAGCCCAGTTGTCCACTATGAGAAACAAGAAAAATCAGGTAATGGTTGCTGGCAGCTCAGGAAAACATGAAACACCTTGGATACCAGCAAGTGACACAGGGTGCTTGTCCTCCAGAATCAAAGCTCTTGATCATTCTTAACTATACAATACTTCCTGCTGGAAACAGACCACAGCTGCATCCTTAGCTACTAGTCAGTGGTCAGTCTGGGTTACTTCACTCCCTGAGCAGCTGTTCCCACAGACTCCCCATCATCCCCACAAACTCTCTTTTGTGCTCACCTGCAAACCACACCCAGTTCTGCTATTTGTTTCAGTGCACAGCATACATCCCAGAAACCTCTTTTGTGAGTTGTGGCACCCAGGCCAGATGGCAACCAGGCAGACTGCAGGGAACAAACAAGCAAAAGGCAAAACCCTTCCACAGAAGACCTGCCCACATTCAGGCCGATGTCATGCTACAAGTCTTCCTTAGCCTTGGTTAACTTGGGATCAATCTACATGTCCCGCCCTCTAATTTATGATTCAGTGAGACTTTACATATCTCAGTAATTTATCTTCAAGAGTTATAAAAGTTAGGACCAAATATTCCAACTTAGACTATTTAAATCTGGATTCTGTTATCCACGGTCAAATAGTGACAATTATTACAGAAGTCATTACTGATGAGAAGAATCAATTGTGGAACTCAAGTGTATTACACTGCATGTTTATGCGCTTAGGCCAGATTTGTTCTAACTGAAAAGTTCTTAGCAGATCAGGAATGCCTGCCTCTCTGGTGCCTAGCTCTGCAGTGAGGACAGGGTGGGCACAACCAAAGTGGGCATAAGACGCTACAGAAAGGGAGAGCCACATCCTTCAACTACTTACCAAACTCAACCTAGCTCACTAGTATGGATTATTAATGGAGTCTAGAATGAATGAACAAACAAGTCCCCAATCCAAAGACATTTTAAGAACTATTTTAACATTCATTTTTCACAAAAGAGATTTAAGGTACTGCATCCAACCAGAAAGGGGGAAAAAAATTAAGGAATGGTTTAAAATGCCCCATGAATCCAATTAAACTCAGAAAAGGGATCTACCTGAAAGCAGTTTTCAGATCTAATGATCAGCAAGACACAGCAAAATGCATGTGCAACATGAAATAGTGAACAGACTTCTAAGAAGTTGTGCAAAGAAATTCATCATTAATTAGGTATTGTTAAGTGTACACAAGAAATGCAGGGTTCTAATTCAGTCAGGTCATATGGCAAAGACACGGATAATTACTTGCCAAGAGCCTATGCCAGAGGCCTGTTGTTTAAAGAAACAAAGTGAGACTGTTAGTAACACATTTCCAACCCTCGATATGGTTTCGGAGTATTTTCTCTAGTGATAAGGCTGAATCAGGAAATAAGCTGGATGGAGGAAGGAAACTGGGAAGGTGGGGGAGGGAAAAAATGAGAGGGGGAACAAACTAGGGAGTATCAGGAAGTTCAACCAGATAGGAACTAAAGGAATTTGTTTTTCAGTGTCTCAACTTCAGTCTACAAACTGTGGAACACACACACACACACACACACAGAGAGAGAGAGAGAGAGGGGGGGGAGGGAGAGGGAGAGGGAGAGGGAGAGGGACAGGGACAGGGACAGGGAGAGGGACAGGGAGAGGGAGAAGGACAGGGAGAGGGAGAGGGACAGGGAGAGGGACAGGGAGAGAGGGAGAGAGGGAGAGAGGGAGAGAGGGAGAGGGAGAGGGACAGGGACAGGGAGAGGGAGAGGGAGAGAAGGCATTTTTCAACACCCTCCACCGAGAACGTACACATAATTCCTAGCAGTAAAAAGTTTTTCCTAAGAGCCAGGTAATTTCAGTTCAGTATATTGAGTCATTAATGTTTCCAGGAGGATGCAGGTAGGTTCAATTTAGGGAGCACTCACTTCAGCTTTACTGTTTCTCAATTAATACAGCACTAAGCTGGGGAAAGGAAGAACTTGAAAACCAGACATCCATCCCAGCACTGTGTACTTTACTAACATTTCTCTTGAGTAACAGGCAGCATGTGATGTTCTTCACGAATTAAGCAAGTTCTTCTGAATAGTTAGATGCAGCCAGAAACCGTGCTCCTCCCAACAGCCTCTGCAGCTGGAAGAAATGCTAACCCCCACAAAGTCTGCAGAAAAGTCAGAGCAGAGGCCTGGTGGTGACAGAAGCTTTAACTTCCACGGCATTGAGAAACAGGGACAGCTAGGAAACACTCTAGCCTGAAATACAACATCTGAAGGCCAATTTTTGACAAACTGTACTGATCTTTTAAAAACATAAAATAGCACAAGCAAGTATTCATTTGATAATCCCCCTCAAGAGTCTGTTATGGACACCAGCAGATGGCACCTGACATAGAAGGCAGGTTGATGAATAGCTCCTGAAGGAAAAGATATTTCTAATACCAGCCCCAAAGTTATGCAAGGCACCATATAATCCCAGCACTTGGGAGGCAGAGGCAGGTGGATCTCTGTGAGTTCAAGGCCAGCTTGGTCTACAGAGTGAGTTCCAGGACAGTCTCCAAAACAATACAGAGAAACCCTGTCTCGAAAACCAAAAAAAAAAAAAACCAACTAAAGCCCAATTTTAAAAAGAGGAAGTACAATGCAATGCAATTTTTATTTACTGAACCCCCTATCATGTGCCATACTGGATGGAGCACATGCTGGGAACCCAGAACTGGATACAAGACAAGTCTTTTGTCTTTTAAGTTGTTCACTGTCCTGCCTACATGTACTTGACAGATGAAAAAATCCACATGTACAATACAGTACATAGATTTCTTCACTAGATACAATGAAATCGTTAAGTACAATGTTTGGCAAAACATAAATTCAAGCCAATGTTGCTATGAGGGTCAAGGGAGGAAAACACAATAATCCAACTGAGAAGAGGAGCCAAAAGAAGTATTTTCAAACCAATCTGATCAAAGGCCTTTTGCCCTTGGCTGTGCAGACTGTTGTAAGTAACATGGTAAGGTTTCTTAGCAACACTATTCAAGGAAGGTGCAGCTGGACCCAGAACTCAAAGACAAGTCCAACATATATCCAAGACCGAAGGACTCTGCATAGGGAAACTTTTATTTGCTGTCCTTAGGACAGCTAGAGAGTTTTCTGTGTGCATGTGGCTGTACATATGGGTCTATCTTCTCAGTGTGGAAGTGGACTAATAACACCCAGATACTCCACAGACAGGCAGATTTCAAAATCTGCAGGTCAGCAAGCTCCACTGGTGACTGTGTGACACCTGGAGGTTTGTGAAGGCCAGTCACATGGTGTCAGCTCTTGGCACAGCTGTGTTTCAGGGCTTCTCTGGTGTCCATAACCCAGGTTCTGTATCATACTTCAGTTCTCACCTGGATCAGCTACAAAGACCGAAAAAAATTCTTTCTCATATAAAAGGTGTGTGTGCATGTATGTTCATGCATGTGTACAGATGAACAGAAGCCTAAGGTTGACTTTGAGTGTCTTCCTCTACTCCTCTCCACCTTGTATAGTGAGGCAGAGTCTCTCATTCAGTTTGCTATCTCAGGCAGCCTGGCTATCCAGCACAGCTCAGACTCCCTATGGCACGTGTCACCTTCCCCAGCCCCGTGCTACCTCCTAGCTGTAATTACAGGTGGGCTACCACACCCATCTGGCTCTTCATGTGGGCTCTGGGGATCTTAACTTTACTTATCTATTGTTGCCATCTCCTCTAATCTAAAAAATAATTAGTAAATTAACTGTTTTCTTCCACTATCAGAACACATCACCACTAAGGACAGGCCACTTTCTATATAACTCAGCAACCACGAGTCTCAGCAGACCACTGGGAGCCCTATAAAACAGCTTCCTCTATGTTTACCTTGCTTAAAGAGTGGGGCAGAGTAGGGCTAGGAAACCTATGAATCCAGCCTTAACTTGCAAAGGAAACTACTTAACAAAGTCTCTGATAATTCTCCAGTTTCTAAACATAATATTGAGTAACAAATATCTACTACCCTAGGAAAAAAGACACCTGCCAGTCTGGGAAAATGCTAGAGATGAATAAAAGTTGTCTTTCTGTTCTATGGTCATCACGGACCTTGGCCAGGAACCAATGAAGAAACATAAATATGACACACCAGGTTCACTGAGGAACTGTAGTTAACTATATAGTCCAGATTTTGTTAGATAAAATAAATTTCATTATTTCCAGAAATCCAGCTAAAATAACTAGTGTTTTCACATTAGAATGACATACAGGGCTGTCTCTTACATTTGGAAATAGTGCAAAAGTTTTGTATAATATACAGTCCAATGGAATCATTAGGGTTATGAATTACAGGTTCATTTGTCTCCTCCAGTTTTAAAACAAGCCATAATGTACAATGGAGGGTGTACCCACTGCCCACCCTGCCCCCAGAATCTAGTGGCTAAGGGTGGGAGTAGGGAGGGGAAGCAGTTGACTATGAAGTTTTATACCCTTGGAAAGAGACGGAATGAGAATACACAAACAACATCACAACCTGTAGCTGGGTACCTGAGCAGTCTTCTTGTTCTTCCTTTTCCCAAAAATGCAGTCCAGGTCAGTTTCGCTCCGGGAGGACAGATCCTTCCCTAAAAACCACACAGAGCTTTTCAGTCAGACCATTCGTTTGGAAATGAGAAGCACAAGTAGAAATGTGTCACTCCTGAAAGACAGATGGCTGGTAGCAGGGGGTCAGCTGTTGACTCTAACCCCTTCACATTACAACTCTGACCACAATATAGACCACAATCAAAGCTTCAGTGACTGTCTCAGGTCCAGAACGTCAGTCCCCTTCTGACTGCAAACCACCTGGCACACAGATTGCACAGAAAACTCCACGTATAAGTGACCCTCCTGCTTGCTTTGTCATGAAGGTGGGACTTATGGGTTCCTGGGTTCACTATCTGCAAAACAATTCCATTGCCTTCCAAGAGAAATAGCAATTAGTACTGATGGTAGCAAAATGCAGAACTGAAAATTCTAATAGGCATAAAACCTCAAACCCTTTAAATACTCACACATGCACTAATTTTTGACACACAAGATCTCAATAATAACTAAGTGAAACTTCCAAAGAATAAAAGCAAATCAAAGCTTAGTTTTTCTTTTTAAAATCTTCTTACTTGCAACAGCTCTACCAGTTAAATAGAAAGTCACATGGTGACAACAGGGAAATAAATGGCTCTGGGAAGAGCAGTGGTCAAAGAATCTATGATTCCTATTTTAAAAACTAACTCAATTCCAAACCCACAAACCACTAATTTAAAATTCACTTTAGAATTTCTACTTCTACCCAACAGTACCCTGTGAGCAGTCAGCCAAATCCATTCCCATCCATCACCTTCAAGGAAAGTGCATCTGAAAACTCAACTCTCCATGTGAAGCCTGCTAAGCTTGGGAAGAGAGGCCAGGTCACATACAGGAATCTGGGTTTCTAGCTAGAAGCCAAGTTCCAGTCACCAGCTCATTGGTCTTGGTTTTCTGCTGCAAACTGACTTGACAAAGTAATGTCATGACCTAGAAGGTATTGGTTCACCGATTTGCACTGGGGCATTCAAATATGACACTGCTCAGTGACTCCATGAAATTGAAAAAACAAAACACCCTTCAATTTGATGCAAAACCAGGTGCCAGAACCAGTTTCAGAGGCAGTGGTACTGGAATAGATGGTGCAGTTGGCGCGACTTGTTCCTGAGGGATCAGAAGGTTCCTATTGTTGCTTTCCTCCCACCAGAAGCCAATGCTAGCACCATCAATGAACCCCCATTCAAAAAGCCCAAGGAGAATTCACCTAAGAACAGAGTGATGCTTATCACAAACAGTAGCATGGGCAATAAAACAGTAGCATGGAGAGGTAGCAAAGACAACTTGCAGTTGCAACAGTGAGAAGGGACAGTTTCTTGGGAGATAGAGACCTATTCTCAGCTGTCCAGTGCAATCCATTTCTTTCTTGCCAGCACATTCACTATGGACATTGTATCCCAGAAAAGAGAGTCAGCTTCACTTGGTTTAGAATGAGCATCAGAAACCAAGAGTGATGATGCACACTGTAATCCAAGCACTCAGTAAGCAGAGGCAAGAGAATCAAATATTCTAAGCCAGTGTGCCACACAGTGAAAGAAATCCCAACATTAAAGCAAACAAACAAACAAACAAACAAAAACAAATCAATAACCAGCTTCCCTTAACTCAGCCCCAAAGAGGAGCTATCCTAAAAGAAACTTAAATTCACACCTCTTTTTGTAACAATTTCACTAAATGGAAAAGGTCAAAGGAGAAAACACGGAGCCACAATTCACAACCGTGAAAAAATGAACACACTGAGATTCAAAACAAATCTCAGACTCAAAGGGAAGCTGCCAAGTCAGTAGAAGTGTTCAACAGAGGTTCTAGGGTGTCTAGAGTTCTGGTGTGGGTTCTTGGATCATAAATTTCTATCCTCTAGCAAAGTTCACTTAAGTGAATGTAGAAACCAGGGCTGTACAGGACTTGCTCTGGATTTAATCTAGAAAACAAGAACACAGAGAAGATATGAGAGTCAGAGTCCACTAAAAAAAGAAACCTGTAAGTGGTGAAATAGAAAGATGGTGGGATTTTGGAATTAGGAGTCAACTAATGGTCCTGGTTGAATTATTTTTATACATTATGAAATTATGACCACTCCTGGGTGGCATAGTAAAATTAACTTTGAAAGGATAGTAGCTTTACAACGATGGTAAAATCACAACAAAGACTGTTGACAAATTTAGATCTTTGACAAAATAGTAAACAGAAAAACTGAAGAAGGCAGAAAACAGCTATGGCTGTTCTAGCTCAGTTAAAACTGCATCTCAAGAACCAGGAAGAAAGGCTTTTAGGAGCCAAACAGATATAAGGAAGCCCATGCAAGGCTAGGTGTAGGGTTTCACAGAGAAATGCCGTATTTAGCACAGCTTTAGCTATTTAGCTATCAATCACGGTTATCAGGTTTTCCAGCTAATCACAGTGGTAACCAAGAGAAGGCATGTAACTCTCACTGCAATCTCCTGTCTGGCACCTGGGAAGCAAATGGACTATAACACATAGATATAAGAGTGATGAAATATAGCTGCAGCCCAACCATAAAGAAATTCTGGGCTTAGAAAATATATTTGTAAGTTAAAAAACCGATTTATCTGGGTAGCTTCAGTTGCTTCAAAATTTATTTTCATAATTCAGTCAATAAATCTAAATTAAATAGTCTTACTGTGAGAGGAGCTAGATTTTAAATAAATATGGATGAAATAAATATAAAATTTTTATTTCAAATAAAAAAATCATCAAGTAGAAGCTACACAAAGAAGTAACTATGCATCAGGACTAAAATGATATAGGCAGAATTTAGGCATTAGCAGATATTACAGAACTATTTGCTCTGGTCAGGTATTTTGTAGTTTTTCTTTGAGACAGGGTCTCACTATATAGCCCTGGATAGCTTGGAACTCACTGTGTAGACTAATCTGGCCTTGGATGCACAGATCTGCATCCCCAGTGCGGAGAGTTAAGGTATGCACCACCATGATGGCCAAGCCTTGCTCTGGGAAGGTCCTGAGCAGGCTGTAGAGAATACCACCTTCCTACATTTTAGCTTTCTGGCACACGGGGATTTACCAAGTGACTCATCCTCATCAGCAAAGGGAACTAGAAACTTTCATTGTAAGCATTAAAGTCCCTCTTTCCACAAGGCTGGAAAAGCATGAGTTCCATATGAAGAAGGGTCACGTCTCACAAACCACAGAACAGAATTTAGCTTGGCTTCATGGAAGCTTGCAAATACCTCCTTGTGTTGCAGAAGAGGAAACAGAATTTGAAGGAAGGGAAATAGTTCGGGATGCGTCTGGGAGGGCAGCAGCCAGGAGCCAGCTTCCTCTGACCCAGACAGGCTCCTTTAGGGCAATCTAATAGTTCATGGTTATCATTCACACCCAGAGACAAGACCAAGTGAAAAGAAATGGCTTTTAGGAAATGAAAGACTGGTAACACCAACTTCCACTGACAGTGCAGATGGTGGTACCTGCTATTGCCTGTACTGCCTGGATTTTCACTTTCTTTCTCTTCCTTTTTATTCCCAGCCTTTGGGTCCTCTATTTCGTGATACCTCCTCTCCCCCTAGCACAATACACCTCTAGCTCTTTCTTCTCTGCACACCAAGGCCTCCTTCTTCACAAGCAAGGCTGATAAATAAACAAACTGCACCATGAGGGAGAAATGAAGGCATAATGCACCAAGCAGTTTGACAGGGTCACCAGCAAGGGAGTGGCTGACCTAGAAATAGCAAGTGGACACAGCCAGTATCCAATAGATTAGTGCAGCTTAGAGGTTTATCCTAACAGGCATGCAGTCAGGGACTGAAGGACAATCAGAAGACTACATACATTTGGAGGGAAGGGGGAAAGGCTGCATGCATTTCATCCAAAAGTGAATTCTACTTGTGTGCTCTGCAACAGTCTTCTGCAGTGTCTCTAGTCTTCCTATAGTGTCTAATGAAAAAAGAAGGGCTGTTTAAGGGGCTACCATTCCTCATCTCCAAAGGACTAGGGGGATATAAAGTCGTTTTCTGTCCTACATCAGGTTATGGTGTGGTAGAGGTAAGCCCTGGTTAGATGTTTCAGAGGCTGCTAACAAAAACTGTTTGCCTATGAAACAGAAAGGGAAAGCACACGGGAGCAATTAAAACCACAGTGTGGGGAAGGCCAGTACTCCTCCCACAGAGAGAGCTCCTGAACCCCAGCCTCGGATGCGCCTTTCACTTCTTCCAAGTGCAGTTCTACCTGTTGGGGTCCTGGCCTTGAAGGACAGCTACTATCAACAGTGTCCAGTCAGACTCTGTGTGCCACTGCTGCTCAGGCAGCTTATGAGAGTTAAGCAATCCCCCAACTGCCAAGACCAAGGCAAAAAGATATGCCCTTCCTGGCACAGAGGCAGAAACAGACATCCAGTATGCCAAAGAACAATCAAATAGCAACTGGATGTCACAGAACAGTAACCATCACCCCTAGTATACACAAAGTACAGTATGTAATAGATAGCTTGTCGCCACTCTGCAGAAACATCTGAGATTTGTTTACAGCAAGGTAGACTCTTCATCTGTATACGGCTGCCACCTAATGGCTACAGAGAACAGCTGCACTCACAATGAGCCACATGGGGAAGGTGGAAGGTGGCCTGCAGGGTTTACTGCTCAATTTCCAACTAACCTGTTTCTCAACACCACCCTGGAATGGCATGCCTATAGTGACACTCCATGAGATGGAGAACTTGTGTGGACTATTACAAGGGTCACCTTGGGTATATGAGTCATTACAGTGAAGATTTTTGATATAATTAATGAACAAAACTACCAAAACAGGAACTATCCACCAGAATGCCTAAAAACTAAAAAAAGTATAAAAGTTGTAAAACTGAAAGACAGAAATTTAAATCATTTTTTGATCTAGCTACACAGCATTCCCATTTTCTCTAAACAGAACATGGACTTCCATTCACAGCATACACAGGACCTGCCTGCCTAGTCTGAAGCCTCCTCTGGGTCCCTCTTGGCACCACTGCACCTCAATTTGCACTTTCATAGGATACCCAGGGCTGCTGTAGATCAATACCAGGCTGCCCAGACCTCCCTATCCAGAACTTCAAACAAGCAGCCAGTGCTGCAGTACTGGGCAGGCGTCACAATGCCTCAGGAAACCCAGTGCCAACATACACTTCAACAAGTGAATGCCTGCTCTTACCTTTTGTGAATTTCATGTAATGAACCCGGCTTTTGGAGGTTTTGGATTTTTCTTCAAGGCTAAAAGATTTCTTTTCCTTGTTGTCTGAGGAATCTTTAAAAGGAAGAAAAACATTAAATACCATGTAACTCATTCTCTTCATGGAAGGATGGAGAGCTTTTTTACGCACGGTTTTATAGGTGAGTCATCATTTACTACTCAACTAAAGCTATAAAACCCTTGAGAAATTCATACCAAAATTTACACATGAATATTCATGGCACTTATTCATAGCTTTACAATACCAAGGTAACCCAAAAGTTTTTCAATACGGCTGAGCTCACACTGACACAGCCTGATATAGAATATAATTTAATCATCTGCAGTAAAGAGTGGTGGGTTGATTCTAACACAGCCACTGAGTCACATCTTAGGTAGCCATGATCTCCCCCAGGAGTTGAGCATGAAGCAGAGCAGGCTGGGAACACTGTGAAGACAGGTGCTTTGGCTTTCAGACAGTGCTCAGCATGGGTTACTGAGAGCGCATACCCTAAACCACTGCACTGTGTCTACCAGAGCTGCTCTCAGCATGGGTTACTGAGAGCAGCGCATACCCTAAACCACTGCACTGTGTCTACCAGAGCTGCTCTCAGGTTACCAGGCACCTTCTGAATACAAATGTCCCTGTGAAAGGACACCGAGTCTGGATTGAGCTCAGAGGACCAGTTTATCTCTGGGGGGGTCCACAAGCATTTCTCCGAGCTGAGGGACACAATCCGAATGGCTCTCCTTTCCCATCTGTCTTCATCCCACTTTAAAGAGAGGCAGCTCTCAACCTGGGATCAATGAGAAACCCAAATATGGGTTCCCATAACCAGCCTCTCAGCTTATCAAGACACAGTGCCAGAGATTTCCCTGTTTTATTTATAGTTGTCAGAATTTACAGTGTATCTTCTAGTTGTCCTAATTGTAATCCACTAATTACTATGACAACTTAAGCTAAAGGAAAGCATCTGTATTGAGTTGAGATCACTAGGAAACAAAATGTTCTATTTGTGCTATGGTAGAGAAATGAGACCAATTTTAAAAAAGGTATAAAGCTGGTCACAGTGATGCAAATTTATAATCACTGTACTTGGGAGGGTAAGGCAAGAGGATCATGAATGTAAGGCCACCATGGACTACCTAATAAGACCCCAGCTCAAAAAACAAACAAATGTTTTAAAAAGTTTAAGAATAAAAAATATATTAACATACAATGCAATGGGGCGCATGAAATGGGAAGGAATGATGAAACATAGCCTTTCTGACACTATAGACGTATACATTTGCACACTTCAGAGACAATGGACAACAGACTTCGAAGGCATCTGGCATCCACTACAAGCATTTAGGGTTGTTATAGAAGTGTTAGATATAAATGCCATTTCCAGCATATGGGGCACATTTAAAAGTAATGGCATGATTTTCTTTAAAATGTCAATATATCTCAATGAACCAGAAATTACATCCTTTGCAAATACACTTGTGGCTTTAAAATCTTTGGGATATTGATCTAGAAATGTGTGATAGGGCACACTTTTCAAAATTCTTCCAGGGAATATGTGAGTAGAAATTTGAGGATGCTGCTTCAGACCATAACTTTGTATTTAACAATGTCTCAGCACCCTAGCTTCTATCCCACAATATTTAAAATAATGAGTGGCAAAACATCAGAAAGTTAATATACAGATACTACAAGAAAGTGCCATCGAAATGCTAATGTGAACTCCTCAGGGTATGTCTAAGTGAGACAGGATAGTTTTTCCTGTATGTGCCTGCACCTGTGTATGTATGTGGGGTCATATACTTGTTCATGTAGATGTTTGCATGGATGTGTAAGTGTGCACACACATGTGGAGGCCAGAGGACGATGCAAGACAGTCTATCACTGAACCCAGAACTCATTATTGGCTTGCAAGGGTGACTGGCCAATGAGCTCCAGGGATTCTCTTGTCTCTGCTCCCCCAGTACTGGGGTTACAGTCACACTAGTCTTTTTGGCATGGTTGCTGGGGATCTGAACTCAGGTCCTCACTCTTGAGCAACAGACATTTTATTGACAACTATGTCTCTAATCCCTGACCTCCTTTCTATTCATGCAACATGGGCTGGCCATGAACTGACAATTTACATGAAGTTAGCATTGAACTTCTGATCCTCCTAACTCTTCCTCCCTTTTTTGCCTTCAATAAAGATGGCACAGCAGGAAAATAATCTGTTAGCTCTCCAGATCTGTCCTGGGAATAGGGAGGGTTTCCCTAAAAGGAATCTTCTGAAGGCTTCTTCCAGTCCTTCCAATTCTCAATGGCAGTGGAGCCACAGACAAGCTTCTCTAAATGCATAATCAGGCTGCAGGGCTACTGGCCCCTCTAGTGGTCTGGACAGGAGCTATCTACAGATAGGCCCTGCAGCTTGGACATCATTTAAAATACTCCCAGTTTGGGCACCAAGGAAAAGGAAGCCCATGGAGATTAACCCTGGAGGAGGATGAAGAAGGCAAGTTTTGTCATTTGTGAAGTCAGTCACGGCCTCCCTGACACACACCTCAGAATGCCCACCGCCTGCCCTTACTGAAACACTCCAGGAGGGCTGTTGCAATGGCACTGTAGAGCTTTGGTCATCAGTGTGGGACAAAGGAGGCCTGTTCTGAGTGAGACAGGGTTCCAACACTACTGAAATGGCACCTCTCACCTAGGAAACAGTGATCATGACACCATCAGACTTGGGGAAATGGAGCCTCCTCTCTGTCCACGTAACCCATCCAAGATCTTTGTGAGGTCTTGGAGCAAATCAGTTCTTGGAATTCTGTGGCCTGAAAGTTACAAGCACTCTCTGAGGCACCAAGCACCAAGTGACAGTAACAATGCCACACCCAGTGCAAAACAGTTCTCTCTGATTAAGAACAAGGGTGTGGGCATCTATGAAAAAGGACCCCAAGTTCAAAGGTCTATAGGGCACTGGTGGTAAAGGCGTCTGGTGCTGGAGTGATGCTTTAGCCATGATACTTAGATGTCACCAGAGACTCACTAAGGTAGACTCTCTGGGAGCCAAAGGCTTTATCTGTCACTCTTTAGCCAACTTTCATTTCACTCTTTATGTAGCATTAATTACACACGCTTTACTTATTTATTTATTTTTATTTATTTATTTATTTGATTTTTTGAGACAGGGTTTCTCTGTGTAGCTTTATAGACCAGGCTGGTCCTCGAACTCACAGAAATTCGCCTGCCTCTGCCTCCCAAGTGCTAGGATTAAAAACGTACACCACCACCACCTGGCAATGCTGTATTTTACTTTAAGTTTGCCAGGAAGACAAGTAATGTTCACAATTCTTTTATCATAACATGTGCATAGCATATAGATATATTTAAAACCTATAGAGTTGAAGAATTATAAAGTGAACCCCTTCATCACTACTTCCAGGGTTAGACTACCAGCACTATCTAAAAGCATCCATGTGCACCTTCTTAATGTGCCCTGCTGCTTCTTCCCAGAGAACTAGGCATTCTTTGCTGTAGGGGACAGCTGCAGGACATATAGTCACAGTTCTGGCATTACCAGATAACTAACATGTCCATAGCTGTGACAATGGAAAATGTTTCCAGAACCAGCAAGATGGATCAGTGGCAAAAGCTCATTCAATAACAGTACCATTAAAATATAAGCAGAACCGAGTATTGGTAGCTGCTTCCATCACCCAACTCTTGGATCTAAAGGTTTATTGTGAAATGTGAGTCTGATGTGAGAAGCAGCAGTGTTAGTGTCCTTACCTGCTGTTTCCTGTCCGTGGCAAGTGTTGAGTGCTGCCAAAAGCTGGTTGAAGTCATCTTGGTGAGCAATCCAGTTGTCCTAGAAGCACCAAAAAGTATGAGAGGCAAGCCCAAAACTTACTGTACTGCTGACACAGACATATAACAAAAATCTGACCATCAATATGAAATTATATATGTTTATTAAAATACTACTCTGTAGTAAAATCTATAGTAAAGCTTTTGTGTCTGGTTTTGAGAGAAATGTTGCACCAAAGCCTTTGCTATGTTTGGGTTAACAGGAGAAGCTGAGAAATTGTTTTGGGACTGTTTAAAGCTTGAAGAAATGTTTCTCTGGAGAATCTACACTTGGTGCTACGTGAGACCTTGCAGCTGCACTGACCTTGTTCCTAAGACACTCCTGTCAAACCAAAATGGCTGCCATAATCAAAAGGGTCTGAGATTTGTGTGGGTTGCCTGCTCTCATGGGCAGCAAGAGCAAGATGACTTTGGTGGTTGGAATCTTTCCCAGCTCCAATTAACCATGTATGTATTTGAATGAAGTAACTGGAGTGAGCTGGCTGAGTGTCAGTCTTGGGTGTCAATCTTTTTTAGGAAGGCTATATCCTCTGCTCTTTTGGAAAACGAAGGCTTAGCATCTTGGGGAACTGCTCTCTCTACTGTGGCACCTACAATTGACATCAAGCAATATTATTTAATAAATTTAACTGGATTCAAGAAATAGTATAAACTTGAAGTAAGGTTTAAGCAGAGCCATATAAAAGCTAGGATGTCTAGGGCAGAGTTCAGTAGTAGAATCCTTGTCTAGCATGTAGAGTCCCAGGTTTGGTCCCCAGCACCACAAAGTCAACAAAATATACATATATATTTAGAGGAACTTGCTTGGAAGTTCAAACCTGTATTTCAAAAGTTTATGGCTCATCCACAGTTAAGTCAGAACAGAAACAAAGCAATGGCAATGTGTGTGCTAAATATTACACTAAAGCAATATAAAATAAGTATTTTTCTCACACAGAGAGACTATTGGGGACTGGAGATATGACTCAGCAGATAAGGGCACTGGCTGCTCTTGCAGAGGACAGAGGTTCAATTTCCAGCACCCACATGGCGGCTCACATCTGTCTGTAACTCCAGTTCCAGATGATCCCACTCCTTCTTCTAACACCCATGGGTACTGTAAGCATGTGATACAGACACATATGCACAGGTAAAATACCCATACACATAAAATTAAAAAATCTTGGGGGGTGGGATTGACACACACCATGAACATGATAAAGACAAGAGCAGTGAGAGCATAGTCCTCCTCTTTGTTGAACAGAACTTGGGCTATTCTGCAAAATTCTAACTACTTGCATCAGCAGCAACTTTACAGAGCTCTGTGGAAGGTCACCCAAAGTCTCTGAATCAACAAGTTCCGACTTGCAAGGTGTCCACTAATAATGGCCTCTAAACAATACGAACCAGTGGACAGCAGGGTTTCTAAGCAGCATTTGCCCATGTAACTTTACATATGCATTTCTTATTAAGAAAGCTTAAAATATAAGGTGCACAAATAGGTTTACAGAACACAATGCTTCTCCTAAGAACTTAAGTACAGCATGTTTCATGTTTCTCAAAGTAGTATTTACCATTAACCTTATAGAAACTCTTTAGTGGCTAAAATTTTAGCTGTAAGTACAAAAATTTTTTTGGCTATTTTAGTCAGAGACACCAATTACTCTAAGTAATTCAGTTTCCATAAAGTCATTCTCCCAGTTTTTTTGTTTTGGTAATTTTTTTTCTTACTGGATTCTGTTCGCTACAAGAGGTCAGGACAAAGCTCCCGGGTCTGACTCTGAATGAAAAGGAGCAGTGGGTACTAACCCTGAAAAGTCTGGCAGCTGCTGACTTGCAAGTGCTGAGTCTGTGTTCAACAGGACCCGTGACTAACTGAGGAACACCAACATTCCGAACCAAGCCAGCTTTTCTCCATCACTCCCCCTCTCAAAGCCACCGGTATCAATAAGACAAACTAGTATCAGCACACAGGTAAAAATAAAAACCGCTTCTGTTCTGAAATGAACATTTCTTTCAAAAGACTTTTTACGAAGTTCAGCCATAAAACTGGAGTGCCTCTCTAGGCCATAACTAGGTAAAGGATCCAGGAGGACAAGGCAAGGTGATGAATGCCTGTCACAGGATGAAGACAAGCTAAGCCAAGTGCTCTTATGTCTTTCTTCACCCAAAGCAGGTATCATACTCTTGATTAAAAACCATTCCATCTACTTGCATGAATTTCAGTGTTTCTGCTGACACAACTCAACTCTGCAAAGAAAACACTCAGAAGTCGCTCACTTCATTATTGTTTGTAGCTCCAAGTCCCAGGTTGTTATTTTTAACTTTAACTTTAATATGTTCTGTGGCTCCTTGCTCCTGAGCCCCCAAACCCTGTGGAAATTAAACAGAAAGAAATTAAATATAACCCTATCGGCTACAAAGAGAAATTGTCTCTTTCTTTACCATCTATTCAAAACACAGACCAGAAAAATGGTTCTCAACCAACCCCTTCACAGGGGTCAGATATTAGATATCCTGCATATCAGATATTTACATTACAATTCATAACAGTAGCAAAGTTACAGTTATAAAGTAGTAATGAAATTAATTTTATGATTGGGGGATCATCACAATAGGAGGAACTGTATAAAAAAGGGTCACAACAGTAAGAAGGTTGAGAACCACTGGCCCAGAGAGTTCTGGAAAATAATGTCTGCAGCACCAAGGATGCACTCTTAACTGTGAATTCTGAGTCTTGAACCCAGGAACCAATACAGAGTCCATGAAGACATGTGTAGAGTACATATTTTGTGTATGGGCACCGCTACAACAAGTGGCAAAAGCCTATGGGAGCATGAGGAGCACATGACATCCTGTTACTTGATATTGCAACATGACATCAAGAAAGAGAATGGAGGAGCACTCCATGTCCCTGGTTTCACATAGCTCTCACTCCTAAGGCTGTAGGTCATACGAATAGCAAGTCCAGAGACTGCAAGCGAGAAAGACCCCAGGGGACTACAGGACATGGAAGACCCCAGGAAGGCTTCAGACAGGTGAATAACGGGAAAAGAATACAAAAACGGAGACTGAACATCACAGGACCTTGGAAGCTAGAGCAGAGATGTAGATTTTAATCCTTGGAAATATCTTCAGCAAGGGAGCAACTGACCTAAAGTTCAGTTTGAAAAGCCCTTCATTGCTTGGATGCTTGGGTAGTTAGCACCATCTTTGAAAGCCAGGAAAAGGTGGAAAGGAGATTTGAGGGGACAAGAGGTTTGTAATAAAAATAATTTTGAGGTAGCCACTCAAGTATCTCAGCCAGGAGGCACAATTCAACGCATGGAGGGTAATTAATGAGATCACCCGAGCAGACTATGCAAAGTGGTTCCAGAGCTCAGGAGTCTAGAGGAAGAAGATGGCCATGATTTAGAGGTAGTTGATGTGATAAAGAACAAGGCGAGAGAAAGGGTAGTAATGCTACCACAACGAAGTTCCATAGAGCAGGCACTGTGTGGAGCACTGCTGAGGGTGGGGTAATTGAAGGATACCTTATACCCACTGGATTCGGCAAGAGCCCTGCAACCCTGACAGAAGCAGGACATATAGTTTCACATTAGACGTTTCACTATAGTCAGGAGTGAGTGGAATATAAGGGATCCGAGATAGCATGTGTCTGCTACAAAGGAAAATTAAGTACCATTCTTGGAAACACAAAACTGAAGCTGGAGTATGATTCCATGTATAATGAATTGAAAGATATTAATTACAGCAGTAACCAAAAGACCTGGTATTCATGTTCCAATCTAACTCTACCGCCTGGTCACAATTTACTTCTCCAAAATCAATTACTGATCTAGAACACAAAGTTCTCCCAGATTCTAAGAAGGCTATCTTCTGATGTGTGATCTACTGGCTTGGCACAGATACTTTAGAGTTTGATTTGATACCTTTCCTTTAGACCACCCCATCTTCTCAAGCATCCTCTGGCCAAACTTGGAATCATCATTGCTCCATGCAGTGTTTCTGGGATCCAGAGTCCATTTCTGCTTCCGCCGACCTGTAAATGAAAAGGTATCTCATCAGCAACCAGTCTTGAGCACAGGCAAATCAGTATACGCTTGCACGTTAATAGGCTACATTCAGTGTCCAAGGGAATAATAGAATCTTTCTCCTGGTTTTCCCTGTAATTGTACACTCCTGGCATATAAACTAACCTTGCAAAATTCAAAGCAAAATATTCCCTTTAAGAAAAAAGAGCAAATTTGCCAGGCGGTGGTGGTGCATGCCTTTAATCCCAGCACTTGGGAGGCAGAGGCAAATGGATCTCTGTGAGTTCAAGACCAGCCTGGTCTACAAGAGATAGTTCCAAGACAGGCTCCAAAGCTACATAGGGAAACCCTGTCTTGGGGGAAAAAAAAAAGGAAAGAAAGAAAGAGAAAAGAAAGCAAGCAAAACAAATACTTGATAGACGACTATTTGAGCCTTCCACATCCAGCCACTGGCAACAACCAAAGCCCCTCTTGTAACCGCCTTCATACTCACTGACGGCTGCAGCAACCACAGTTGCAGGTGCAGGCACCTCGATGCTCACTGCTTCATTTTACAGGCTAAATGCTACACATATATTAGACTCAATTTCCACAATATCTCGATGAAGGGAGATATTCTTACCTTTCTGTCTTTCAGGTGAGAAGACATGAGTCTAGGAGAACAGTATCTGCCTAATATCCCTAAGTACAACCCAAACCTTTTATACAAATCAAGGTTCTATACATTTCAAAAGTTATTATTTAAGGGAAGGGTGAGATGGAGACTCATGTGGTGCTACGCTAACCTTAAATTTGCTATATAGCCAAGGATAACCTTGAACTCCTGATTCTCCTGCATCCACCTTCCATGCCCATATCAACTCATATTCTTAATACACAATTTAGGGAAAGTTAATTGCACATTATGAAAACAGATAATATACCTCCCTTCTTAATAAAAATCACAACGTATTCACTGAGCCTCCAGAATAACCTGTGGCATTTCTCATTCTACTGCAGTGTGGCATTTATATCCACCTTCATGTGTCCTGTTACTCTATATCCCTTAAGTGTCACATTCAGTTCTTCACTCTTATGCTTCATCGAGAGAAGGAAAGCAAGCACTGCCTATAGCGGGCACCTGATAAAAATGTATGAAAACACGAAGGAATGAGAAAGAAGGAGAAAAAGGAAAGGAAGAAAGAAAAAGGAAAAAACGAATAGTTGAAATAAGGGAACTGCTTTGGGTGTCATAGAAACTTCCTCTGAAATGAATATAAATAACTGACCATTAAGAATTCAAGTTCCGGCTGGAGACATGGCTCAGAGGTCAAGAGCACTGGCTGCTCTTCCAGCAATTCCCAGGCACCACTTGGTGGCTCACAACCATTGACAATGAGATCTGGTGCCCTCTTCTGGCCTGCAGGTATACATGCAGGCAGAACACTGTATTTATAATAAAACAAATCTTTTTTTAAAAAAGGTTCATCACTATAGTTTTGTTTGTTTGTTTATCTGAGACAGTCTAGCTCTGTAGCGTAGGGTAGCCTTGAATTGGTCACAATCTCTAGTCTCAGCTCCACAGGCAGGAGCCACCACATTTGGCTTCACTGTTACAATTTTGAGGGAAAACTACAGCAGAAAAAGAACCCACCAGGTCAAGGGAACAAGACTCTGAAGTCCCAAAGTCAACTGTGACCCAGTAAGGAATCTGGAGGTTGAATGTTATCACTGCTCACCCCTGCACTCATCAACAGCCTCCTAACCCAACTGAAAAATAACCAAGGCCCTAGTCAAAGGGCTTATTATGCTTTATGTAAAATCAATAGGGATCTTTACCTATATATACCCTTGCAAAAGCAAAAATCCCTTCACAAGCATGAAGGCAGAAAAAACAAAAACAAAACACCACAAACCAAACTGAGTTGGAATCACATCTGCAGTGTTATGCCTGGTGGAAAAAGAGATGACCCAAAATCTTGTTCCACCTAGCTCAACAACCTGGTATAAACTCAGCACACTGTCTCTCTAATGCACACAGTAAAGACAGTCGTATTAGCTGGTGGTCTGCATGTGTGTCTCCTCTGATGTCTAGAGAATGCCCGCCAGGGGTCCCTGACCGTGGCTTGTAAGGAACCTACTCGTCCCACCAGAAAAACATCCCTGTCACATACTTACCCAAGATGCACTGCCATGCTATCTAGGAACTGGTTGGAGGGCTGTTGCTCTCCCCTGTGTAACACTGCTGACACTCAGTCTGTACTGATGCAATCACCTCACCAGGAGTTTTAAGTCTGGGTGAGGCAGAAACTAGCCCCAATTTTGTGTTAGTAGAGACCGGCTGAATTGCCTGGAAGAGGGTCGAATCAACTGGTCTTCCTAGAAAGACACTCTCCACTCCAACTACTGAGACGCCTGCGGGGCATGCAGTGCGCTCCAGGAAAAGAGAGTGCGGGCAAACTACAAACAGGGGACCCGGGGTGGCAACAGGGGATCCGAGGTGGCAGTAGGGTAGTGGGAGATGGGGAAAAAAGAATCACTAAAACATTCCTTGTTCTAATTTTTTTTTTATTTTTTGGTTTTTACAAGACAGGGTTTCTCTGTATTGTTTTGGAGGCTATCGGTCCAGCCCGGCCTCGAACTCACAGAGATCCGCCTGCCTCTGCCTCCCGAGTGCTGGGATTAAAGGCGTGCGCCACCACCGCCCGGCACATTCCTTGTTTAAAAGATGCAAAATGGCATCTTTTAAAAAGAAAGTAGACAGCTACACAACTTCCAGGAAAAGTTAAGTCAGTTCTTTGTGAACGTCACACGACTGCCCACTGGTGGCAAGAATCCATAGCTACACTTATCATTTATAAGCAAAAGTAGCCTCTGCCTCTAAGGAGGGGAACTAATGGATTTCAAGTGCCTCTTTGTCAGTGTCGCCTCTAACCTCGGATACCCTCTCAGTCTTGCTGGGAACCACTCAGCAGCCTGCACTCCCGCCATGGGCTACTCAGTTGTCTGACATTGGTAATGCTTCCGCTTTTCTTCTTCGGGTTCAACACACCTTGGAGAGTTGAATTTCAGAGCCTGAAGCGATGCTACGGGACCCATCTTTCTGGAACCAACCCCCCGGACACTTGAGCCCAGAGAAATGAAAGAATCCTTCCAGGTGGCCACGATGGCCAGCGCAGGGGAAAGTCTGAGACTTCGTGCCCTGAACCTCCGAACGCACACGTGAACGTGTGACCCGAGCCTTTAGTACCAGGAACAGAGTCCCGCGCGGGCCCGGCAGTCACTGCGACCCCACTCGGAGCTCGGACACCCCACCCCCGCCCCGGGTTACCCTGGTGGCCCGTCAACCCATCACTCAGCCGCCCAGCTCGGCCGACACTCACGCTCCGCCAGCATCGACATGGTCGCAAATCTGCCGAGCGCTGCCTCTGACCGGGAGCCCCGTGGTTATGAGGAGCCTGAAGAGAGGAGATAGAAGCTCCAGGGCGCACACGCCGGGCTGACGGCGGCGCCAGGGCGCGTGCTAGTGACGTCATCTGAGCGCGACTTGCTATCAACCACGTGAACCTGAGGGGCGGGACCGCCTTGCAGGATTGGGAGACACAGATTCCGTCTAGGGCTCGGCCAGAGCTTGTGGGGCAAAAGCAGTTTACAGTTTAACTCTGCAAGCACCCCTAGAGCTTTTCGGAGGTTCTACCCTGGGGACCTTCAATGAGCTGGCGAGACAGCCGAAGAGGAAGGTATTGGTACTTAGGATGGGGGCCTGTGCTCCTCACACTCCACCTCTGCTCATTGGGAATGCTGAGCGAGGAGGGAGGGAGAGAAGGCAGAAACAGACATCTAGCTGGCAAACGCAAATGAAGCACCATGGTTTTTTTTGTGTGTGTGCTCAATGGTGGAGACATGTTAACTCTTCCATACTCTTCACTGTAACAGGCTTAAATCCCAAGGCCTTTCCCAATCCCATTGCTCGATCTGCCATACCTGACATTTGCTGAAAGCATCCTGCCACATTCTGCCCCGCCCACCTTGCGTTCCCTTCTCCTCCGGACCTGTGACCTCAGCTATCCCCCAAGCTGTTTATTTGCTTTTTCCCTCTAGCTTTTCCCTTCAGGGTCCCTTTCTTTGCCAAGGCTTCACTTCCCATCCAGACCTTAGCTTTTCTCACATCTTTGTTGTCATCATGCCTTCAGCACCGGCCAGTGCCCTGTCCTTCACAGGGCTCTTCCTCATTTTCTCTTCTTGGGAAGGTCGCGTCTACTTTTCCTCAGACCCAGCAAGGTTCCATGTTAGACCCCACTGCGTCCGTGCAGCCCTTCTAGGACGCAGTGTGCTGGGGGGATGAAGTGGTGTTGTCTAATGGCTGTGATGGGGCAACAGCTCAGAACTGGGAGTCGACACACCTGAGACTCGGGGAGTGACTTTGCCCGCATCTGCTTACCTGTAAGATGAGGAGATTGATGACACTCAGCCAAGACGGGTCATGTGCTTGACCATGAATTATAAACAAGAAAAGGCCATAGATGTGACAGTGTGACCATACGGCTAGATCTGACCAAATCACCCATTTAGAACACCTGAACCAAAAGTCTTTCCAGTTTGCCCTTTCCCAGGGCCAGGGCTCCTGATCTGGATCATCACTCCCAAGCCTAGGAAAATGGTGGGCTTCCAAGCAGGTGGGCACACAGGAGCATTTCCTCACATACAGTGAGGATACAGGCTTTGTTGTGTGGCCTCTCACTCCTCTCTACAGAATCTCCTCGGGACAAGGATTGGCTAATGTGTGAGATTCCCAGTGAGTGTTCTTGGATAATAGCATCTGCTACCTTTGGAAACCTCTGTTATTTGTTTGAAAACATCTTTAGGGAGCTCTTTAAACTTCTACTGTTCATTTAACCTGTTTGTGAAGAATTTGATGAGCAAGTTTGGAGAGAACAGGAAAGAAAGTATGTAATCGATTCAGGTCTGGAATCCTGAGCAAGTTGATTAGGACACTAGGGTACTTGCTTCTATAATGACTTTTCCTAGAGCAGAAACTAGTCTTGGTGATAAAAAGGTAAACCAATAAATCAATCATAGTGGAAATAGGAAGCAACTGGAAAAGATCCTGAGATTATCAGTGTGAAGTTCAGCATGCATTATGTAAAAATATTCTGTAGCTGTAAGAGCGAAACTCCTGTCCTGGCCTCTGCTAAATCCTGATTGATTCTCCAGGAAGACAGCATGTTGATTTGATTCACTTGTGCCTTACATAAACATTCCTCTTTCATTATTAATGTTGGTTGATGGGGATTGAAGCTCACCCGTGTATAGCCTGAACTTGACTGAGCAAGGGGTTGCTATGTCCTTTCCTATAACCAGCTTTAGTGTGTTGTTCCCAGGAACAAAGACCTTGCTGTGTGGAATTCCTGAATCAAGGTGATTTTTCCAACCTCAGAGATAAAAGGAAAAGATGCCACACTTCAAGACAGAGAAAGAAGGATGGATGGAGGGAGAGGGAGGACAAAAGAAGATTGGCTCCGTTTCTACTTGCCTTGGCATCAGAAAAGTATGTTTATGCTTGCCCCTTCACACACACAAAATGGCCAGGGACTGCTAGAGCGCTGTAACCTCCTAGGGTGGAGTGTGTGGCAAATGACAGCAGCTGCTCGGGTAACTACAGGGATTGCTGGCAATGGTTCCTCCCACAACCTCAACTGTCAGGGACCAGGAAGCTCAATTTTCTCTTATACATCCAAGATGAGCCAACCTGCTATCGTGAGATTTACTCATGTGCTGAAACCTTCATACCCCAAGGAGATGCAATGAGTAGGTGGGGTCTGTGGGGGGGGTTGCATGATCACAAAGAGGGAGCCTCAGGATGGGATTGCTGCTTTTAGGAAAGAGAATCCAGTTTTCCTCCTCTCTCACATACTCTGAGAATGCAGCAACATGACAGCATCTGAGAACCAGGAACCAAATCTGGCAACCATTACACCTTGGACCCAGGTTCCAGAACTTTGAAGGATGCATTTCTGTTATCTAAAAGCCAATTTAAGTATTTTGTTACTGTAGCTCCAGTGGAGTAAGACATGCAAAATTACACATTGGCACAGAGTGATAATCTTAAATTCCAGACCCATATTTCCGAAGAGCAAAGACCCAAGAAAGGGTCTCTTACCATTCCCTTGATGCAAATATTTAAGAGGGTAAATACATTCATATTTATAAGAGGAATTTTATTTTAAGAACAATAGTACACGTTTCCTATATCTCTTTCATAACCCAGCCCCTCTGTAAACAGCTGAAAATTCTGTAAACCAAATTTTGCCATCAGTTCAGAAGAATTTTAGGAAAGATAATTAGGGATGAGTGTACCAGAGGGAATTCTTATCGTTTTTCTGGTATACATGTCTTCAAATTGACTCCTTCGTAGGACTGATACTATTTTATATTATTGGCAACTGATTCTTTTCTGAAATACTGACTTGAACCTTGAAACAGTCTAGTTATCAGCCTCCTGGACCAGGGTTATATGTTCTTAGAAGAAAAGACTGAAGATTGGTGGGAGATTAAAAACAAAGGCAGGCTTCCTCTTTCAGTGTTTCTCCTGGAAAAGCTCAATGGAGTATGTGGGAAGGGGAGCATAGGAAGATACAGGGATAGGGCTGGAGCTGGCTCAGTAGTCAAGAACAATTCTTGCTCCTGCAGAAGACCAGGTTCAATTCCAACTACTCACATAAGGCAGCTCACAGTTGCCTGTCACTCCAGTTTCAGAGAATCCAAAGCCCTCTCCTGACTTCTGTAAGCACCTGTATTCAAGTTCACCTACCCACACATACACATAATTAAAAATAATAAAAATAAATCCTTTTTAAAGAGGTGATGCATGTAGAAAGTTGTGGAGACCTAGGAAAACAGGATCTCAAGGGACCTGGGCCAATTGTTGAGACTGTGTTCCTCTCTCAGCACCCTGGACTCCCGCACCTGATCAAAGCACTCTTACTGTACCTCTCTCCGTCTCCCTTGCTCACTCTTCCTCTTCTCCAAGAAGTCCCTTGCACTGAGGAGGGCACCCCGACATTGACATGGCTTTGTCTCAGGTATCCATTCCCTCTTTCTTCCCAAACTGCACAGCTTGAAATGAACCATGTCCCTACATGCAAGGGAGAGCAGGGAATCATGTCCATAATGCCTGTTACCACCACCTGTTTGCTGAACATGCTTTTAAAAACGTTGCAGCCCCATAAATTCAGTTCCACTTGATACAGCTCTCCTCCTTTCCTACTGCCTTGCCTCCTTGCTTCCTCTGCCCACCCTCAGTGGACCTTCTAGCAAAAGACTTAAAAATGGAGTATGATCATATCACATTTTGTGTGTCCCGTAACATCACAATAAAATGCCAGATTGGGGATTGGAAGATGGCTCAGTGTGTAAATTATTTGCCTTGCTAGTGCAAGGACTGGAGTTCAGATCTTTAGAATCCACCTAAAAAGGTGGATATAGTTGCACATAGTTGCAATCCCACTCATGGCAAGCTAGAAAGTAGAGAGAGACAGATTCCTAGAGTTTACTAGCTACTAGCTTAACATACGTGGTGAGGTTCTAGGCCAGTGGCAGACTCTCCCTCAAACAAAAGGTAGAAGGCACTGGAGGAACAACACCTGAGTTTGTCATCTGAGGAACAACAACCAAGGTTCTCTGAAGTCCATAGACATGGGCGTACACACTGGCATGCACGTGCAAGCATGCACTCAGGAAAGAAATGGAATAAAGAAAAGTGAGAAGAAAGGAAACACAACATCCCGATGGAAGCATAAGAGCCCTTTCTGCTGGATGTCCCTGGGGTTGGGCTGGAGGTCTGTCACTTCAATCACTCATCTGCAGGATTCCTCACATTAGGAAGGAAAACATTACATCCAGAACCCAGAACTATCTAGTCTCTTCTCACCCTCATATCCTTATTTTTAATACCAAGTTTTCCTCTCCAACTTCTCGGCTTAGTGTCCTTGGCTTTCCCTTGCAAGGTGCCTCTTGTAGCCTTCCATCAAAGACCACTTCCAGGGGTCAGAGTGAGGGGGCCAGTGCGGTCTTGGCTTGCCTCGCTAGTGGGGAGGCCAATGCAATGTACAGCGCTGTTGGGGTCAGCATTGCCAGGCAGGCCACCACTTACCTCCATACTTCCTGTCCTTGCTTCACCATCGTTTCCTCTCCCAAAGGCACCAGCTACTTCCAACTCTCAGTCCAGAAGCTTTTAGTGTAAGGGAGGGCTCCCTCTGCTTACACTGAGGCCAGTTAGCACTCATTATTTCCACCCAGGAGTGTTTATCCCACCCCAACTATACATAAAGAAAAAGGCACACACACATGTTATTAAAATGAACTGTTTATATTATCTCAGTTGAGTCAATACATTATAATGTATTAAAATGGAAAGGTACAAAATTGAAATAAATACTTTCTGATTCATGTATAAATCTTTTTGTCAAGATGACTTTTATCGTCAGTACATGTCACAAGAAAACATTTAAAATGACACCAAAACAATCTTTGAAATCATGGTGCATGGAGGAAAAAGGTAAAGAAAACAACTGTTGGCTTGTTTTGGCATGAGACCTTGATACAATTTGGGTTCCCCAAAACCACGTGAAGGGTGATAAAATAGAAATGCTCAAAACTGACTTAAAAAAATAAACAGGCTTTACAAAAATCCTCTTTATTTTTCTGAACCCAGCCACTTCTCGACACAGTCTGCACTTACAGTAGATACATTCATTATTGTCCAAGGGAAGACAGCCGCTGCCTTTCACTTAAAGAGCTTGGTGGAGAGGCTGAAGGGATATGCTGTAGCTGAAGGTGAGTAGAATGTTTCAGGAAAACAGAAAAGTCTAGATGGGCTTCAGGAACAGCACTGAGCATGATGGGGTGAAGGGTCTCTGGGCGAGAGGTGGAGGTGGAGGGCAGGGAGGAGTCCAGTTCTCAAGCAGTGGAGACCAAAGGATGGAGTAGGGTTGGTGGTAGCCACCACGGGCATTGGGGATCTCTCAGCCTGAGCAGTCAAGGGTTTGTCCTCAGCCTGGGAACACTGCTCTGTCAGTGAGAGGTGGGCCCTGGGCTTTGGAGAGGGAGTGTGGTCACCTTTGAGGCACAGCAGCATCGGGGAGACAGGCAGGCTTCCAAAGTATGCCATGGGAGGGACTTCTCGCCTGGTTCTGACTGTTTAGTAGGTGGTCATTAAGGCAATAAGGACTTTAGCAAACTAGAAGTTAAGGACAGCTAAGTTCAGCCAGATCAAAGGTAAACAAAAGGTGAGAAGGGGGCCCTTTCTCCTCAACTACTTTCCCCAAGTCAGCAGGCCTGGCTCCTGGAGCGCGGATTTACAGTACGCAATAGCAGAGGGCTTGCCCTTTGGGAGGCTCCATGGAAAGAAGGCTCATCCAAGACTTGGGGCAACTTAATCAGTTTCTACTCTCCTGTGGTTTCCCGTGGTCGTGACTGATGAGTGGCAGGTGGAAGCACCAAGGTTCATGCAGAAGTTAGGTCAAGACCCCAGCTCTCATCTTGCTGGTACGTCTCATCGGCCTTGAACACCATGCAGCATGGAAAACCAGGCCAGATGCTTGAATGCACCATGAAACCTACACTCAGCTGGAGAGAGAGCAAGAATTTCAGGGGTCCAGAGTGGGCACCCTCCCCTGAGCAGGTGGAAGGATAGCTGTAAGGCCTATGGAACTATGAGGTCCCACTTGGCCTCTGGGGAGTAGAAAAAAGCTCTGTGACTTGAATCTGTTCAGAAGGAGACATGCAAAAGATAAAGGAGAGCAGAACTATTCTCTTCCTCCATGTTCTGGACAAAGGAGATGAACAGTTACCTGAAAATGCTAGGGGAACCTAACACAGCTACCTATTCTTCTGGGATAACTTCTGGCAAGAGGCTGAGTGGTCTGACTGCTGAGGCTCTGGAATGGAAGAAGTGGATCTGGGACAGTTTCTGCCAAAGGGTACAGCTACATATCCCCGAATAGGAAGGAGCCCAGTATGACCTGGGTAAAGCAGATAGATCAATCCCTCCCATCATCAAGCAAAAGGTCAGCAAAAGCTCTTTAGGAGATAGATGCCTGGGGTCTGCAGGTATAGCAGCTTGGAGATGCTAGACTCAAATTATCAGGATCCCTTTAAGGGACCTTGGTGGGACAAGACATTAGCAAGAGGAAACACTGTAATGACCAGCCGTATGGGGCTAGATCCCCATCTAGTCCCTGTGGTGGAAGCTGTCTTATTTGAACCCTAAGAAAAATAGGTAACAAGACTGTAAGAATTATAACAATAAGCCAGTGACAAAAACAAATGACATGCATGCTCTGGGGATACGAACAAAACAAGATTGGTGGCAAGTTAAGTGGTCACTGCTAAAGAGGACTGGTGGATGATACCCTTGTCTAATCCTACTTTAGTGCATGATCAAACCTATCCTCTAAGTAATACACAGTACAAAACAAACCTCCAAGAAGTGATCTAGCTTGCTCCTTCCTTTCCCTGACAGAATGGGCTCTGTAGAACTAGAGTCCAGCCATATTTCTACAGCCACTGGGACATTGCAGTCACTTTTATACTCTTTAGTCTATGCCCGTTCTCTGGCTTTACTCTCACAATGTTGAGAAGCAGGCAACACTCTTCAGAACTCCTGCCAATGAGCCCTAGGACATGGTACTCACGGCAGGCACCTTGTTGCTTTGCTAGGCTTGCAGGCATCCTTCTGAGGAGCCCACAGAGCTCAGGGGAGCAGCAGCCCTGGGCTGGAGTGCTATTGTGAGCAGCAGCTAGTGTGAGGCATCAGCTGCTGGCTAAGTAGTGTGCTCACCAGCCCCACCTATTCTTGGAAGAGTTTAAGACTATGGGAAAAAGAGGAGCTGTTCTAAAAGTTCAGAAAAAAAACTAACCGAAAAAAACGGAAGGTTTTTTAATGAATGCACAGAATGCACATGTACAAGGATGACAAAAGCTTACAACACATCAGAAGGTGCACAGGGAAGAATCATTTTTAAGATAGTGAGATTGTGAAAGAATGTCTGTCTGCAATTTCTATTATGTTATGTTTAAAAGAGAAAATAATGATAAATGCTATTACCAGTGCCAAGCCCATTATTTTTAGGGCATATGGTCCTAATTTGGAGTGGTGACAGCTCCTTTTCTTGATGAACCAAGTTGGATCTGTGGCTTACTGGCCATATAGGTTCACCTTCTCCCAGAGAGCCACAGGAGGGTAGTCCACAGCCATAGAATTTAAGGAAGAGCCGTGAACCTTAACATCTGTCACACACCTTGCAGGTGGTTGGGTACATCTCTTCTCAAGAGAACGTACCACTAAGGATGTCCAGGGTCCTTTCTGGGCCTCTGGCTAGGGCACAGGCTTCTCTTCAGATTATTGGTTGGGGACAGGAAGTGGCCCCTTGGGAGTAGGCTGGGATAGCAGTTCATTAAAGGGTTAGCGCCATTTAAAAATCTCCAACTCGGAAATCTGATCTCTCTCAAGAAGCAGTCCCCAGTCTAACTGGAATCAAAAACATTTCTCCATGTAGTAAGAAAAAAATGACTTTTAAGTCCTGGAGGCTGGGGCCAAGTAGGCAGGCCTTGTGGTCCTTATCCATGATGATACAGGAAAAACCAAAGGGCCTCAGCAGCAGACTGTGGACTCTGTTCTAAAAATTCAAACAAAAGCACATTCTGGATCAGATCTTTGTATGCTTTGGGGACAAATCTCAGGGGTCCTCCAGACCAAAAATGGCCACATAAAGAATGGTACCAGCCAGGCGGTGGTGGTGCGCGCCTTTAATCCCAGCACTGGGGAGGCAGAGGCAGGCGGATCTCTGTGAGTTCGAGGCCAGGCTGGACCGACAGCCTCCAAAACAATACAGAGAAACCCTGTCTCGTACCGTTGAGAAAATGACACTCATAGAATTCCTTGAAACTGCCATTTTGCATGAGGAAATACTCAGTGGCTTCTGGTGACTCCATGGAGATTAAATTTTACAGAGATGTACAACGAAGAAACAGAGAATTTAAAGTAAACATGAGGACTTACTTGGTTCAAAGGTCATGGTTTCCTGAGACAGACTAGTTTTTAAAAAAGCAATAGAATGATCTTTCTGGAATGAATGGAAGCCTCTAGAATGAAAACAACCTTGAGGGAGTCAGCAAGTTTGGGGAGGTGGCTTGAGGGTGGGGAGTTAGTTAGTTAGTAGTTAAACTATTGTGATTATTAAGGAAAACCCAGAGCCCGTCCCAGCAGGAGAGCAGGAAGGGCTGGACAAGGGTGGAGAGTTCACTTATTCTCATTACTATCCGGTGCCTCTATAAAACGCAGGTGAGTAGGAGATTGGCTCATTGGTATCCCACACCCTAACCTTCCTCACTTGGCTCATGCAGGCCTGGGAAAGTGGACCGTGAATGGTGCATTCCCATCAACCATGGCCATGGAAGATAGTTAGGAATGTCAAGCATGGTGGTTGGGGACACACCACACTAACTTCATAAATTTAAAGGAGCACTGTGAGTTAGCAGCTCTGTGTCAGAGAGGAACAAAGTGGCTCAACTGGTTCTTCTGAGTTCCCTTACTCATTATTTCTTCTCTCAAGGAATGGCTTGCCTCATCTGTGGAAGGAGGACACTGGGTCCTCAGGGCTCTGGCATTCAGAGTCTGAGGTCCCAGAGATGCTGTCAGCTGGAACAGACAAGAGTATGGTCTTAATTCTACGGCCTTGTAGCCAGAGAGAGTGAGGTTGCTCCTGGAGACTGGAGACCAACATTGGCACACTGGTACTGCTTGGCTTGAATCCTGGCCACAGAGAGCCTACAAGAGAGGAACGATGCTGCCATGTGTCTGTGGTCCCTGTGCAGCCAGTCTTGACTTTGAGGAAAAGGAGGAAATGCACTCAGTGCATTCCGAAAAATGCCCATCGGCAGCTGACAGAGATGTGACAGACACACACGCACACCACTGAGGACGTATGTGCCTACAAGGAAGAAAATGCCCGTGAAGGGTGTTCTGAGTCCTTATCGCTGAAGAGGGGAAAGACAGAGCTAGCCAAGAACTTCTTGTGATTCAGGTGGCCATTGGTTTCCTGCAAAGCCAATAAGCTCCAGGACTTTGAAAACTTAACTGTGATTTCAGCCTGTTTGCAGAGAGGTGAAGCGTTCTGCCCCAAGACAAGTAAGTGTTTGAGAAACACAGATCCTGGACTAACTACCACAAAGCTGGGAATACCAACTGCACATGTTGGATCCCAGCAAGGGGAGGGGTTGTCTAGCAGAGTCTTGGATGGGGAAAGATAGGATAGCAAACTGATTGCATACCCAGGGAATACACCAGCCCACCGATGCAGATCCGGCAAAGAGAGGACAGGATTTTAGAGCAAGGACTCAACTCCCTTGACCAAAGATAATGCCCAACTATTCCCCTCCATCGTATCCATGTGGGAACCATCTCACCCAAGAGATTTCCTGTGGAAACCTTGACATATAATAATCCCTTTAATATATGTATGTCTTCCCCCTGAGCAAGTCTGGCTGTCTGAGAGGGCGGGGGTGTCTCATGTTCTGTCTCCAAACAGCAATTCAGTCTCACAGGTAGTTCAGGACTAATTTTTGCTTTAAGTGCACTGAAGACCCAGGAAAAGGCAACTGTCTCCCTATCTGTCACCATCCTTCCTGATGTCGTATAGGAAGAAACTGGGGCCACTGAATTTTCTGCAGTCTTTCATGTGAATCTGGTGCTATTGCAGTCAGGTAAACCTTGCATCTCTTTCTGAATCCTTCAACATCTCCCATTGCCTGTCTGCCTAACTCAATATTTACTGGCTGCCTGTCTTTCTATCTACAATATATTATATATACTCTCATGTATAAAATATAAATAATTCTTAGACTCCCACTTACCTTTCTGTCCTTTCTTCTCCTTTATATAACTAGGATTGAAAAAAGGATGTTCCATGACATGGAAAGAAACCACAGTACTGCTCAGAGAGAGAGATCTCAGGGAGGAGAAATGCCCGCCCTAGTCTCCGGGGCCTGGTGCTTTAGAGCTGGACTGTACGGTGGGGCACAATTCAACAGAAATCAGCAATGGAGACACCTGTGCCTGATGGGTGAACTTCCACAACCTGGTTTTAAGGAACAGTAAATACAATAGAGATAGATAGATATGCTATGTTGAACCTTGAGTACTAAACACAAGTTATAAATAGAGTTATGCTAAAGGAAAGCAGACAGACATCGTTGGGACTAAGTCTGGTTGACAACCAGTCACCATTAGGATTAAAAAGTAAACTGGCCTGTTCACTGTGCACCTCCACAACACTTCTTAATGCACTAAGTACATTTTTAACCATGCAAAAATACACAACATCTTAACTAGGTTGTTTTTTTTTTGTAAAAAAAAATCAAACACCAACATTATGCATTTTTGTTAATTATATTGGTTAAAGTAACAGCCAGTGGCTGCCAGATATCAGATACATCATATACATATTTTTATACAGAATCTGGACAACACAACATTACACATCAGAGAGAGAGAGAGAGAGAGAGAGAGAGAGAGAGAGAATTTGTTCCTTTGTGGGTTTGTTGCTGTTCAATAAAAAATAAAGTAAAATGAGAAGCAATGCTAAGAAGGAAAACGCGTCAACAGTTAGGAATACACAGAGAGAACTGTTAAGCCGAAATACAGGAGGCAAAGAGTTCGTATTTAGGTCTCTGTCTAGAATGTTCTTCACTAAGAAACAAAAGAGCACAACAGGTGTATCGGTTTGGAAAAGCAGGGGGGGGTGGCGATAACATCATGCTGTCTTTTGCGCAGCACGTTTCCAGCGGTAAGGAAAAAAAAAATCACAAATCAATTCCAAAAGTTTCGTATTTTTAAAAATGTCCTTCCTTGCCCAGGAAGCTGAGTGATGCAGGGGTTGGGGCGGCTCAGTCGAGAGTCCCTGGCAAAGGTTGCGCCCAAATCATTGGCCTTGGATTTGTTGGAGATGCGAGCTGCTGTGGGAACTCACGCAATGGGATGGGATGTAGCTTGCTCCTTTAGGCAAGGTCTCCCTGGCACCAGAGCAGAGGTGCCTCCATGGTAAGTGCCACTAGCCAGGCCCCCATTCTGCCCCCTTAAACTTTTGGTGTCAACACAATCCTAAGACTTCAACCTGGAAAGCAAGCAAGGCCTTCAACACAAGCTATGGAAGCTCTGCCATGGTTATGGTTAGATACAAAAATGTGAACATCCAGATGTAACCAAAAATACAAAATCAGTTTCAATAGGATTTGATTTTTTTAATACCATTACAGTGCAAGGGTTTTCAAATTACAGTAAAAGTTATATGTCTGCTTACAGTAACTAGAATAAGTAGCTGATTTTGTTCTAGAATCAGAGGTCCCTGATAAGTGAGAATGCACCAATCGAAATCAACTCAGAAAAACAGATGGTGGTCTTAACAGAGACAGGGCGCTGCTGCCTTTGTCCCTTCCAATGCCAGGAACGAAAGAAGCATGGTGCTTTGCACAATTTGCCAGCACGTGGTGCCTGCTTCTTCAAAACCGATAACAATTTCAGCGAGAAAATAACTAGAAAACTGGGCTGAAGGGTGGAGGATCCTGAGGGAGTCCCCACATCACTGAGTTTTCCCCATGGTACTTAGAAAACAGAATGATTTAACCTCTGGGCCACATTGCATGGCACTTCAGTCCCTGTTCCAGGCTGTTGGGAGAGAGTGACACCACCTACTGGACAGAAAGAAAACAATAGAAGGAAGCAGGGAGGTTGGGGGTGAGGGTCCAGAGACCTCCATTTTGGTAAATGGATGGCCATGGCCAAGGAGACAGTGCCTCTCAGAGTCTCAGGTACTAGAAGGAAAAATGATGTCAAGAATCTAGAAGGATGTCTGAGAATGGTGCCCCACCTCCTGAGCCTCACCTTGGGGCAAGAGGCTGGAAAAGAGGAAGCTGGTTAAAAGAAGTGACCAGGCCCATGACTGGGACATGAGGAGAAACAGGAGACCTGTGGAAGACGTGACTCTTGAGACTTGCAGCATCAGGAGTATGGGGTGTGAGCCACTGGAGAGGCACCCTTTCTGTGACCAAGAGGAAGAGCAAACATTTGGCACTGGGCACAGACAGCAGTAGGCCAGAAGCTTACAGAAGCCACGTGCCCTGTCTGTTGGTCTTCGGCCTTCTTCATGAAGCCCCCCAGAGTCCAAATATGAGAAAGTCACACTACCCCATTTGATGGTGAACCTTGGGGCTGAATGAAAGGAGGCTATTTTAGCACAAGAGGTGCTTTGGATACAGGATTAGCTAGGCCTGTGTAGGATGCAGAGAACACTATGGACTGTGGTTGGTAGTACAATCCATTGGCTTCCTCCAAGTGACCTGTATAAATGAGCAGATCTACACATGTTTACAGCCAAGGAAAGAAAGAGGCCTCTATATTTCTGTATCATCAGGAAGTCTCCCTATCTTTGACACTGAGTTAAAAGTGGCTGTGTGAGTCCAGGAAGTACTCTGTGATTTGGTTAAAGTCTGGTCATTGGAGGAAGTATGGGCTGCCTCTAACACGTGTAGTACATTCCTTAATTTTGGCAAAAAGGGGCCACTCCTCCCTTTGGCCAGAAGGGACCTACCTCTGAATCCCTCTGACTTAGCTTTCCCAGAGTTAGTCACTAGACCATAGCCCACTCTACTAAAGTAGTCTGAGCCGTGGTACAGCCCCCACAGTGTGGTCCTTCGCATATTGTTCTGGATGCCTCTAGAGTGACTGTCCCCTCCCAGATAGCTGATGTCTGTGGACTTTGCTGACCATGGGTCTTCCTGTCAATGGAGGACTCTTAAAAAGCTGGTTTGCCTTAATAGCTTTTACAAATACTATAGTCTTCAATAAATCTCCAGAGTTCTGTAAAGACAGCCAGGCCTCCTCTCTCCAAATGATGCATCATTTAAGGATTTGTGATCACAGATGTGTTCACATGAGGAAAAGGACAGAATGAAATTAGAGGATAGAAGGCTAGGGAATGCACCCTAAAAGCTAAAAATCATACCTCAGGGCAAGTCTGTGTGGGTCATTCTTGGTACCTCCGATTTCTTGGTATCATTATGGAGTTGTTTGTCCCTGGCTGAAAGACACTCCCATGAATGATGATTCAAGAACTGATACTTTTGGTAATGGCATGGTGGCAAGGTAGCTGCTGCATTCCTAACTCTTGGTGTGGTTTGTATATCACCAAACTGACCCTGGAGTTTAGGGTGGTTTCTTACTTCATTGTAGTTGTGTGACCTCAGGCAGATCAGCTCTCTGACCTTCAGCCTTCTCATACTGGTTGGGAAACTGCTTAATTCATAGTTACTGGAGACAAAGCACACAGCAGGCATTCAGGAAATGCCATGGACAGCCTCATTTCTCTTCAACACATCTCACCTTCCTATTCAATGAAGTTTTACGACTTTGTATCAAAGCATGAGCTTAGTGACACACTTGTCTACTCCAAGTGGCTTTTAAAAGACAACAGGATTTGTGGGGTCCCTTTGTGCTTAGCATTGTTTAGTTTGGACATTAGTTTCTGAACATCTAATAAGGCTGACTCTCAACTTAGGACCCATAACATTCAGGTCTTCTTTCACAGTTAAACTGTTTGACACCACCAATAAAACAGGTTTATTTGTTTTTCCTAGCAAAATAAGTGTCTTGAACATGTTTACTCGAGCAATGAGCAGTTGGCTTCATTTTCTTTTTCTTTTAAATCAAGAAAAAATATAATTTATTTAATCTCCTTGGATTGTTACACTTATAAACACTAGAGTAAGTTAGGAAGGGAGGAGCTGAATGATGCCTCCTTTGCTAGATGAATGGGTATACTGACAGCAGAACTCTAGGCTAGCAAGGGATGTTAAAGAGTGTTGTCTGTATTTGCTGAAGAAGAAGTTGTGCTAGGGCTAGTGCAGTAGGCTGATGTTGAATCCAATGTCCCAGCTGCTGTGCTTGGACTGTGATGAGACTGGACTCTGCTTAGACAGGAACTATGCTTAGGGTGTTCCAGCATAGGTTTCCAGGTTCCATATTTCTCTTTAGAGAAGCCATTCTCAATCCACTTAGACAAAAACCACTGAGTGCATGCCCAGCAGACTTGCATGCTCCTGTTTGCCAAAGCGAACCAGGAAACTAAGGTGGAAACAATAACTCTTTCTTGAAGGCTTCAAGAAAGAACAATGCTATGTCTCGTCGCTATTAAACAGTGAGGACTTTTAAAATACTGCCTGCATTTGACCTGATGGACTCACTAGGAAATGAATACATACTGTTTGGGAAATAGGCATCTTTTAAGTGATACATTTAATGACAATGATACACACTGACTCCAGAAGACGTTTTTTTATAAAGTACTCCAGCAGAGACCTCAGAAATTGCCATGACAATAGAATGGAACAATAGACAATAGAATGGCAAAGAAAAGGAAACCGGAGGAATCAGTGTGGGCCCAAAAGAGTGCTGGGAACTGGTCTATGGCTTCTGATCTTACAGGATGCTTTTGAAAGTTGGCTAAGTAATGATAAGGCTGGTTTAACCCTTGTGTCATGCTCTTGTGTTCCATGCTTCTCTGGCCATTTCTAAGAGACTGTTCTTCTCCCTTGTTCTCAGTAAACCATAACCCTGCTCATAGGATATAAACTCACATGAATTCTATGCAACTCTAAGGCTCAGGGTGGAGGCCTATGGTCTATGACACTGTCAAAAATGATATTTTTGATATATTGGTACTCAGTAAATGGGACTTTCAGGGAATGGATAGGAGGATGAGGCCCCTGTGTTCATTTCCCAATCAGTGTCCTTAATTCCTAAAAGGTACCATCACCTATGGAGAATGCTCATGAGTCCTTTAGAAAGACAGGAAGCATAGACCTCATAAAACGCCATGTCACCTTCTCTGTTTTTGAGCTCAGTCATGTTAGATGTCTTCCTGTCTTTTGAACCCCAGAGAGCACCACTGTACTTAGTCACTTTGAACTAGATTTCTCCCAATGGACTGTGAATGTCTTGGGGATGGGTCTAGTCAAGCGCTTGGGATGTCTGTCTGGTGCTAGTGAGTGAGTGGTGAGACTGAGTTGGAGGCAGAATGAACTGTTTCAGGACTTAGGGATCTGGTGGAGCCCTTATCCTCAGAACAAGAAATCTCTTCCTTTAGCCTCAAAAGAGTAGCTGTTGGTTCTGATAGGAAGCATGAGACAAATCCAGCTGTTCGTGAGGCAAAGTAAGGCCCCAGCCCTTTACACCAGCAGATGCTGTTCAGTTTCTGTTCAGGAATTTAGGTTCCCAAAACAATGGTTACATTCATGCTCTGATCCCTTCTTGGCTGTGTGGAATGATCCTTCCAAAATGGCCTCCTGGGAGAGGTCTAAAAAGAACTGATCGATGAAGCAGGTTCTCATAGAATCTGTTTCAGGCAGTCTATCACTATCTTTGGAAGTGAGGGAAATAATTTTGTTGTCGTCTGTCAGGCCCAAAAGAATGTTTTGTGATCTCTTCTCTTGACCACTCCAACATTTTATTAGTCAGCCATTGCAGCTGTTGCAGGCATATTTATCTGAAGATCCAGATATCACTGTAGGGGTGAACCTTCACAGTTCACTTGGGAAACAGAAGGTGAAAGGCTCCATCAATCAAGAAAGGAGTTGTGATCAGAGATGAGGTGGGAAAGGCGAGGGTGCTTTGCCCAAGACACCTAACCCTGTGTCAAGATTTTCTGTTATTAATTGAGGGAAGCAGGGAAGGTTATTTAACCTCCCAAGTTTCATTTTCCTCTGTTAAATGAAGCTGTAACCTGTACTGTTATATACTAAGGTTAATCTGAAGGAAAAGACATTGTAAGAAGTTGAAGTCCACCTATTCTGGATGGATGCTAGGCTGAAAGGGCTGGGTTCTTATCTGCTGAAAAAACCTTGGATTGTGGGTTGGTGACAATTGTTGTTTTTAGGAAGATTAAAGAGGGAATGACCATAAGAAACAAGACTGAGAGAAACTGAGGCAATTTAGTGACTACTGTTCAAGTGCTATGAGTGCCATCCTCTGCATCTCACTAGCTATGTTCAGGCCCAAAGTCTATCCTCAAGGCTAGGCTACACTTGGAATTGGAGAATGAAGCCTTGTGCATGCTGGAGACGTCTTGCTTTCACATCAGAGAGGAAACAATATTATCTTAAGTAAGCAAGTGATAACATGACTGATGTCACAGATAACCCTAGTGGCTCATCTCTATGCAGCCCATAAATACTTCAAAATTTGATCCACATGCTAGCCTTTCCAAAGCCTTTGCTTGCACTTCTGCTTAGAAACACTGTGTCTTTCTGCAGGAGCCCACGACACTGTACACGTGTCTTGTGTTCTGTTTCATATGGTGTGATAGTTTTTTGTGTGTAATTATCACCCTTATATTAATTGCCTTGAAATGCATTTCACATTTAGATCTCCTATAGTTCTAGCTCTGTGCTTGATATAGAAAATATTCTTGATTGTTAGATGCATTTTCAATGGGAATGGTTTTTTTGGCAGGAAATTCCTATGAGGTAAAATAGATTCATTATCCGACAACCTGCCGTTTCAAGGAAGGTCATAGCATGGCTGACAAAATGGTCTGAGTAGCACTAAGTCTAGAGTTTCTACTGTGGCTATACAGCACCTTGAATTTGGGGTAAAGAAATACTGGCATTATTTGTCAATGGCATTGAAATGTTCCTGCTGCACATGGTTCAGTGGTCTACAACTCCCTCAGACCTAAACATTATTCTTCTCCAAAAGTGGAGCACATAGAAATCAGCAATGGATGAGGGAGTCAGGGGTGAATCATAGAGTGAGCTATCAAGAGCAACTAGGAAACTAGGAAGGAGAGCATCTCTTTCTGGAAGGGTTTCTTCTTGGGATAGTGTCTTCTCCCTTTCCGGGGAGCAGTGATCATCCAAATTAGAAATAATAAGAAAACATCACCTGAAATTCACCCAAAAACAAAACTAACAGTAGACAAACCAGAGGAGGACCAACTCAGGTGGCAGAAATGAGCTGTCTGGTAAAAGAGGCCATTCAAAGTGATCATTTTTCCTCACTCCCAAGCATCTCCGACTTGCCTGGAATTTCTCTCACCAAAAAGCATGCCCATGAGGAAGCAGAGAGATCACTGCACAGGCAAAGCTGGTTGACCTTTTCAGAAGTCCTGTTCACATCCTCTCCTTGGTTGACCACTAGAGTCACTCAAGACCATTGGACATGCCTCTAAAGAAAGACATTCTGAACCTTGAGCTCTCTCTGAAAGATGCTGGAGAGCCCTTCTACTGGCCCTGACATCCTGCTGTCTGTGCTCTGGTGCAATGTGTGTAGGCATCAGGTAGGACAGCTCCAAGGGCAGGGAAGTGGCCCAGAACCTGCTTGGAAAGAAAAGGGAGCCTGGTATTTAAACTCTGGAAGGTTCTCCAGGAATGAATACCTACCCATGGAAAAACTTGAGAAACAGAGGCACATGGAAAGATGAGATATGGGTAGGTATCTCTGTTTTTTCTTGGTGCTGGGTGAAATGAGGGGTAGAAGGCAGAGGCAAGGAGTGGATTCCATTTTTCTCCATGGACTATACCATAGCTATAGAACCAAAAGAATACGTGATAATAGGAATTGTGCTTTCTATTGCTGAAGGAAGGGAAGAAGGAAGGAAGCAGGGAGGGAGGGTGGAAGGGAGGAAAGAGAAGAAGGAAGGAAGGAAGGAAGGAAGGAAGGAAGGAAGGAAGGAAGGAAGGAAGGAGAGAATTTTTCTAGCAAATACTTCTCAATCATTTAATTATTTCCAATGATATCTTAGACTCTTAGAAAGCTCAGTGAGATGGCAAATTCCTCAGAATCGAAAGCCAATTTTAGAAGTGCATGGCTATTTTACTTGTGGTGTGTGTGTGTGTGTGTGTGTGTGTGTGTGTGTGAGTGAGAGAGAGAGAGATATTCCCACACATACACACACATATATATATTTATCATTATGTTTTCCATCCAAATAAACACCAGTGTGTTCCACCTTCACTATACACTTTATCTGCATTTCAACTCATGGCAGACCATTATACCATAAAAAGAGAAACAGCTAGGAACTATCAGGGTGTAACCTAGCCATGGTTGTTTTCAGTGTCAGCCCAGCATTTGTTAAAGAGCAAATCAAACCTCCCTCAAATACAAGTTAAAATGTCAACCATTGAAACACATCAAGCAGTTCTTTATGATCATTAGAAGGAAAAAGAGAAAGAAACCCAACCTCTTATAAAATTGACTCATTGGTGTTTTCATTTCCTTGTAGCATTGTATATATTTATAGGGAAATCACCATTTACCCCATCCAACTACCTTTTTCTCCTAACTCCCCAGAGCTGGAGGATAGCAAGTCTAGAGTTTTGCAGAAGTATTATTATAAGGATATTTTACCTTAATTTTGAAACCTTTGTTCATCCCATTTCAAGTACATTGAATTACTTTGAGAAAAAAGTACATATTTTGGCCCAAGACACAGGAAAAACAAGGATCATTGAAGTATACAAATTATACAGGGCTTGCAACATAGACATGCCTAGTGAAATGAAGGTAATTTTGTCCAAACACACAGATAAACAGGATAAATTGAAGACAGTCCACCTTCTATTCAGGATCCCATGAACCTGTCCTGTTATCCATATGTACTCTCTTGGGAAACGTGAGTTTTTAGGTACCGCTGGCTTGTACACTGTGAACGGTTCCAAAGCACCATTCTTCATAACACATTGGTATGGAAGAGAGTTCCAGAAGATTTAGAGGAGAGGTGGATGCTAGGTACAGTAGTTCACCTCCAGATAGTACAATGTGACATCAGCCTAGAGAAAGCAGCAGCGTCAATAAAGAAAGCAGTCCAGTCGGACAGCAAAGCCAGGGAGTCAGTGCGTACTGTGCTCCATGCCACAAAGTGGAGACTACAAAACTATGCTGGACATAAAATAAGCAGAAAAGGTTTCAAAACAAAAAACCAGAAAAAAGCCAAATCAATGTTTCCTTTCCCCCCTATGCACAAACCTTTAGTTCTAAACCCAAAGAACAATGGCATCAAGATCAATCCTATTATTTATAAGATTCAGTCTGTAGAGATATTTCCATTTGGTCACTTGCATCCACAGAAATAAAGCACCTTTGAAACCAAGAATTGTTCAAGAATCCTAGTGTCTTATTCAATGTCTCAAAAAAAGTACAGTGAAAATAAGTGGAATAACTTATCAAATGGCCAACATAACAATATTGACTCTAGTGAATAGGCAAAAGGGCTCCCAAGGACAGTTCACAACTAAGAGCATAGAGTACAAGAAAGGCTATGACATTTCATGAATATTCTGTTATAGCTTTGAACTTTATTGCAAAGCAAAAAATATATATTTTATATATATATATATTTTATCTACATTTCACCTCTGACATTGTACACAACACGAAAGCACGGAAAACCAAAAGAATCATAATGAGGTAGATACAGAACACTTACAGATGGAGGCGACTAAGGATTTTAAATTTGGCTTAATACTGTGGCCACCAATGTCTGCCTTTTCACCAGGCCATCAGAAGCCCAGTGATCTCTGACTCTAAAGTAAGTCCCATTAAAAACACCTGCTTCAAAATGAAAAATAATTTTTTTAAGCCAGGGTATCAGATGTGTTCAATTGCAAATCCTAGTAAAATTAAGAAGACAAATGTGGTTTTTTTGTTTGTTTGTTTGTTTTTTTACTTTTGTTCTCTCTACCCTCACCCTGGAAGGAGTTTTAACTTATCTAATGAGGAGTAACCTGTCCTGTAGGGTTATTCTGTGTAGTCTTGCCAGGTGGGACCTAACGGTCCCAGGAGCTCACCAGTTAGGAGTCAGTGGTGAGTATGTCAAGGGGCTTTAATTCCCTGGAGCATTCGCACAGGGGTAGCCCCTAAGAAGAGGATGCCGGCCTTTGATACCCTTAGTACACAAGCTGTAACAAACCCAGCTTCGTTCTGGGATCTACTGCTTCCAGAAGAAGCAAGAGGTACCTGCCAGTTGGCATTTCAAGGCATCCCTTTCCCCTGACTATTTTAATTAGCAGTCCTTCTGATGGGGAGGCTAATGGGCTACCCACAAGGCCATCTTCCGCTTGCTTTGTCGCTGCCTGTGGTGGTGGTGACTACTACAGAGAACAGTTCCTCTATGTCCTCATGTCTGTTTCCTAAATGATAGGAACATGGACAGAAGGAAGGAGCAGGAGAGAACCCCAGGATTGGTGAACCATAAAAACAGCTCACTAGGGAAGGTCAGCTCAGACCTATGCAGATGGCAAAGAAACTGTTAACCATGGTGCATGTGACCAGAAAGTTCTACAGACTAAGATCAAACGGTGCAGAGGGTGTGGAGTTCCAATCTATCTATGGGGCTCCTGTTGAGTCAGATTTAAGTGGATGGCTTAATTCATGTTTCCACTTGTGACTAGATCCTGCTTTGGGTGAAATTTGCTCTATTAATAAATACTGGAGAAAGCTGCAGGCTTGGGGAGCCTTGGGCCTGAGGGAAGACTGAGAGGTCCTTGTAGAATGTCTGGTTACTTGGGGGACAATGGAAGAGAGATGGAAGGCCACCTGATATGTTCAGGGAGGACCCTGGGGAAGTGTGAGGGTGACAGGCCAGAGTTTGACTGGGTTGGTTCTTGTGTTTGTGCTTCATTGCCCTGGGGATTATAAGCACCCCAGGAGACTGTGGGTCTCCTGAGTACAACACCTGGTCCATGGACAACAAAAACCAGGTTGAGCTATGTGTTTAGAAAGTGCAACAAGAAGACTGGTTTGAGGAAGAAGGGAAAATCTCAAGGTTTCCAAAGCTTTGGAGATGTATGGCTATCTATCTCTGTCCAAGTGGGACCCAGGGCCTCTTCCTGCCCTTCTGGGCTCATACCAGGGAAGGCTCACAGTTGAGCTTTGAACATCAAACACTGGGATAGATAAGAGAGGAACTGAAATCAGTTCATATCTGAACAGAAGCCACCGCAAAGCCAGACAATTTCTCCAGCCTGGCTGGGGTTAGGGACTGTCTGTCAGAGCACTTGGTTCCCAGAGAATATGGCCAGGTGGGTTTGGAATGCCCAATCTTGTCTTCAGGAGTTCCTAGACCAGGCAAGACCAAGGGCACTTCAAAGAGTCCCAAGTACTGGGTCTCTGTCCCCTGGGAAACTCAAATCAAAGTAGATGCACTATAGTAGACAGCATTGGGAAAATTCTGAAGGAGGGCCATCTGATTTCATAGTACCCTCTGTGGGAAAAAGGAGAGGATGACTCTTGTCCTTGGAGACCTGTGATAGAGGACATGAGCAACACTGAGATGGTGATGTCTTCTTCACACCCTGAGATCTTACTGTGCCCTGTCCAGTGATACCCCAATCTGCACATGGGATGGAAGGGCTTTCATGATGGACAACTTCTGTGTTCAGTGCAGAGTTATTATTGTGTGTTCATGCATGTACACTGAGTCAGAGTGCTAGGAGGTAAGAAGCTGGGAGAGCTGCTGTTACAAGCACATGACGGAAGGGACTGATAGGGTCAGCAGAGTACATCAGCCTTCTCTTCCCCACCCACTAAGCCCCTCATCTAACCCACATGCCCATTTCTCTCCATCTCTCTCTGCTCCCTGTGCTTTCCTTCATTGCTTCCTCCAGCATCCAGAGCCGGAGACTGTGACTCTCGCTCACGCTTCCCACCCTGTTGTTGGGTTTGTGTTTGGAGCATGGTTGGCTTTCCCAGGCCAGAGCACATCAGGTCATCATTTGACTCTCACCACGGCACTTGCTCATCTTGCTGTCTAGTGTTTTCTGGTGGTGTGGCTCAGAGGCTGCAGCCTCGCCTCAGCATTTTAGAAATGGGAAAACAGAATCATATGGGAGGCAAGCAACCTGCCTAGGAATGCAGGGACAGGAACAGACAGTCCTATGCTCATGCCTACCTCTGGCTGCCACCGATACTTGGCTGGCTCCCTCTTGCTATATTTATTGGATGGAAACAAAAGGCCAGGTTTCTTGCTATGCATCTCAAACAGTCTCTGCCAGGCACTGTGAGACACCTGATCATTGTAAGCTTTGGGAAGAAGAAATGAGATAAAGAGAGCCTGGAAAGGAGTAAACCCCTGAGGCAGACCAGAACCAGGGATCTAGGCCCTCAGCTGTACTCCTGACTGACTACAGAACCCTGTACAAGGCATTATGAGCCTTTGTTTTTCGACCTATAAAATGGACTGAGGTTTCTGGCCTTGCAAGATTTTGGTAGGGCAAGCTGGGTGAGAGGTCAGCACGAGTCTCCTTGTTTCGCTTGCTATTAGCCAAGTCGACATCCCATGGGTAGGAATTCCCTGTCCTTCTAAAACGGCCCTGCTACAATTGGTGAACACCATCACATGGTCTTTGTGGGACCTACTCTGACTGGGATTTCTGGGCCCACAAAGATCTTGAGAACTTGGCTGTCCTTGATCATCTTCTATTCTCTGAGTAGCCATCCAGGGAAAACATCCTGAGCCTCACAGGCTTCCCCAGCATAGGCATTCTTGGCATATACATGTGCTTCACTGTCTCAAGTGGCAACTACTCGTAAGGACTTCTACCAAGGGTCAGCCCACATGCTACAGCAGGGCATACCCATGCTGACCGGCATTCTCTCAGCACAGGGCTAGTCATGAACAGTTGGTACCCATAGGCACAGTCCCTGAGAATCACTACAATCACAGACATCAGAGGCAGAAATGTATGTCCCTTCCCAGAGTCACAGGTTGACACAGCCCCAAAGAAGTCTGAGGAGTCTGACTTGCTATAAAGAGCAAGGGGTCAGCATACTTCACCCCATGGCTCTTCTTCATTTGCCCCAACCTGTGTCTGTTGCAAGACCTGGAAACATTGGATCTGGGGCCATCTCTAGGCCTTAACATGGAAAGCATCCATCCAGAGAGAAAGGGGTCACAGACAGGGCCCCAGCTCCTTAACCACTTCTTGGCAAGAGCCAGGTGTTGGGGGATTTTGTGTGTCTTAGAACTGATGCTTCTGGGATTTTCTGAACCTCATAGATGGCTTAGTTTCTGGGAAAGATTTCTGGGATGGGTTTCTTATATAGATGGGGCTCGAAGTCTCCAGAAAACAACTTCCAATGGGGGACCTCTTAGGAAAAAAAGAGGAAGAAGTTCCTAGGATGGGTCTCAAACATCCCCTGATATCTAAGAGAACGAGGAGATGGGGAGGGGTTTGATGCTAAAGACTATGCTGCTCTCATGAAAGCAATTATCTCCTTATTCATCCCAAAGGAACTCCATCTATGCTCCTACCAAGCAGGGAGAAGGAGCAGCTTGTGCTAGAGCAGTTAGGCAGTGTCTGAATTTGTCTGTTGAAAACTGTCTTGGGTGGCTCAGCCACCTTGTGCTAGATTTGTAAACCATGAACAAAATTCAGACTTGTGCATTCTCAGCCTTACAGGGGGAGGAGCTGCCTTCTGCCCGCAGAGATATGTCTGCCTAGGTTGTGCTTTATAGACCCCCAGGACCTCTCTTCTTCCCCATAACTACTTTTCAAGACCTCGTGAAGCCGTGCCAGTTCACTTAAATTAGCCTCGTGGGACATTGTCAATGAGCAGGAAGCTGCCATACTCATAATGTCACTCTACCCCCTACCACGCACTGCACATGGTGTGCAGATAAAGGGCTGGCTTCCTGAGCAATTATGCTTTCTGTCTCTTGAAGAGCCCCTCTTGTACTTACACTAGCTTCAAACAGAAAACAGAGGCATTGACCATTCTCAGGCAAGTTGATATCCGTATTGGCCAAGGGAGGGGTACTAGAAAGGATAGAAAAAAAAGGTTTTGTCATTGGGTAATAGACTGGAGACTATCTGGGAAAGATGAAACTGGCCAAAAGCTAAGGTAGAGGGTTTGACTTGGCCCTCTGGGGACAGGTTACTCCATATAGATGACCACGCATTTAAGGAAAGAAACATGCTCCCCAGAGCACACCAGCTCACAGCTACAGTCTGATTCGGGATCACATTGGAAGAGCTACAATAGTAGCAGCAGGTGCATGCTATCCCCCATCCTACCCTCAACCTCAGAGATCACAGGCTCATTGTTCCACTTAAGCCAAATTTTTTTCTTGCATTAAGTCAACACATCCCCAAAACATATACCATGAAAAGTCGAATCTCTAAAGGAAATATTTTGAACCAAAAAGAGGATGAAAACAAATTGTAAACACAAAAACACATAATACACACCACATCATTTACAGAACCAAATGGGACTAGTACATCATTGAATCATTTCTAATGAAAGCAAAGGAAACTTTTGTTGTGGTTGTTAGCTCTTAAATTTAGGCAAAGAATCACTGTAGCATGCTCACCTTGACCAGGGATTGGTTGTTGTGGTTCTTGGATAAAGGAAAAAAAACTCTCTGTGAGGGATATGGATAACAGCTTGGAGTCTGAGGTGAGGGGGGCGGGGAACTGGAAGATTGCATAGCTGTGAGACAGCGGCTTCTCACCAAGGTGAACAAGTACATCATCTGAGAAACAGCATCTGATAGATTGGTTTTTTTTTCTGTTCATTTCTGTTTGCAGTATTTTGTTCTCTGTCCATCAGACACGTCATACACAGAAACATATATACAGTACACATACACACATACACACATACACACACACACACACACACACACACACACACACACACACCAGTATTAACACCAAAACCATGCAAGCCAACCCTAACCTTTGAAAGACCCCTTGCCGCCTGTTCCAGCAAAGTTTGGATTCACCAGTACACTGTGCCTGCATCCCCACACCACTTCCTGTCCAGAGTAATATCTCAGATGTTTGCTTACAGTAGCAGTTAAAAGAGGAGATGGGGGATGAGGCATGAAGAAAAAGCACCAGACATGGTTCGATTCTCTTATTGATCTCTCTGTGGCAATGCCCCACATTTTGGTTAGGGGAGAGTCACTACTTTTTAAGAAATGAGAGAGAGAAAAATGTCTTTTGAAAAGCTTTCTTGAGGTAAACCTTATGTGTGAACACCTTAGGCAGCCATCAGTAAGTCTTCACATAGGGAAGAAACAACACTCAAATGCAATTTCCATGTGTAGAACACGAGAAAGCATATGTACAGCTTGCTTTATGTATCTCTCTTCTCACCCAGTCTGCCTTCTATAAGGTATGGAACAGAAGAAAGATGAAGGAGTTCCTGTTTCACATTCAGCACCTCTCATCCAGCTCACTGGACTCTTTTGCACACACATGTACCAAAAGTCACAAACCAAGGGAAAACTGAAAATAGAGCTTAGAATAGTGTCCATGTTTCCACTCTTGCTGTAGGCCTTCAGCATATGTAGACATATATATGCACACACGTGTGTATACATATACGGTAGTTTACATTAATATAGGAAATAAAAGTTCTTTTAGCTATGGTTTATGCAGACTCTCTGCATCTTATTTGTGTTTTCTGTTCTCTCTCACTTTTTGGATAAACAACCAGCTAAAACAATCTATTATAAGGCCTCACAGAAAGAATTCTGAATGTTTCGCTTTTCTCTAAGAACCAAAGTGTATAAAATGAGGTTTGATTCTAGCACCTTAAACAGCATTGGTGATGTTCCCTTGGGAGAAATTAGTACTCCCTAACGCCCTAGAGAATCTCCATCAGTTACACAACATGCAAAGGTGTTCCTGGATGAAGGAGATGAAGCCGGGATGGCGGAGGCAGAGAGGGAGCAAAGCAAACCTCAGGGCCAAGTCGCAGTGACAGACACACAGAATCTCAGAATCAGGGCAAGCTGCTGTCTCCAAATTATTCATTTATTGACTGTGCCCCAACAGCCGGTCCTAAGAGTGACCCTTCCCCATGAGGTATGGAAATAGTGTGGGAACCATTTTAGACAGGGAAACTGCATCTGAGAGACCCAATCAGGTTGCAGACGAAACCATCTTGCGTTTGGACACAAATCAATCATGTCTGACCTCTCACTCCCAAACTATCTTTGTCAACTGAGATTGGTAAATCCACATTTTTCTTTTTCTATTCTTTTTTGGAAAAGCAGCTTCTGGCCATGAACAAGGAAGCAAACTGAACAAAGAATTTTTTTAATATCAGCACCAAAGGAAGTTTAAAAGAAGCTGCCTTGTGCTCCCTTATCAAACATTCTGTGTTATGGAGACAGCAACTTTCACAAAAAAAGAAGAAAGCTTGTCCCAGGGATAGGAGGACAACTTAGCCCATCTTAGCAAAGTGTCCTTCCCCAAGGTCACAACTCTCCAGAGAGCCAGTAGGTCTAGTGGAGCATTATACTCTTATCGAGGAATGATCAGTTTCCACCAAAGCTGCATCAGAATCTCAGTTACATAATTACAGAACCACAGTGGTAAATCTACATCCATGTTGATTGACACATGCATATGCTCATGTCTCTGACTGCACTGGAACAGAAGACCAGGGGGAAGACCTGGCACTGCTGTTTGCTGCAAGTGGCCACCTTGAGTGGAGTTACACGACTGAAAAGCACCACAAGAAAAGGCACCACGGGTTTCAAGAAGTTAAATCGTGTGTTGTTACGACCCTGACCTCGCCATGGTGGGGGCACAGACAGGTTGTTCACTTTTAGCAAGGACCTCAAAGCCTTTGAGTCAAAAGATCTCATCCCATGTACATCTGTCAATCCCAGGTCAATGGGACAGAGGAGCTAAGAGCTTGCCCTTTTCAATGACTAATAGAAAAGGAAAAACATTTCTGATTCTGAAATAAAAATGGGAGGGTGTTGACCACTGGAAGACAAGCCCTACTTAAAACGGGGCATGGAAATCTTTGTGTTATGATCACTTGGTTTTGGCGAATTAAGAAAGAAAAAGAAAGGAAGGAAGGTAAGAAAAGGGAAGGAAGGGAGGAGTAGGGAAGGAGGAGGGACCTATTACATCCACATCCAGTAAACCATAAATAGCACCAAATGGAGATTATTGAAGATAGATAGATGTCCACATGTGTCCACACAACTAAGGACCATGCATAGTGACTTAGAATTCACATTACTCCATACTGAGTGTCTGGTTTAGAAAATGGAAGTTACTGAAACTCTTAAGAATTCCATAGGCCACTGGAAAACTAGGAAGGTGTCGCTGACCAGACACAGCAGCCTTTTAATTTACCGCAACATACTTACTAGCCCTTAAAATCTTTTCTGTTTCTGACTCCAGCTGGAAGCCACACTCCTGGTTGGCATGGGTACTTAGATTGTGTCAGGAAAGTGGAAGTGGGGACAGGGTGCAGAGCCCTCACTAATGACTGTCTTTGCCTGGCTCTAAGGCTAGGCTGGAACAGAAGAGTCCACTGGCCATGCGGGTGGGTCCTGTAGGCTCCAGGTCTTTTCCTCCACTGCCTAAGCCCAAGGTGATAAACAAGAGAGGCCGGGGACCAAAACTACAATGGCTGACTGCACAGGGACCTCTCATCTGGCTGGTGGCATGGTGACCCATATCTGTAGTTTACTGATATAAATGGGGTTCTTGATTTTCCTCAAGCTGCAGGGTTAGCCTTCACGGTTTCCAAATCGCAATGCGTATCTGTACCTCAAGTGGCACTTCCATTTTTGTAGGTGGTAAGTAAATGGTTGCTACCACTCTCTGTATTAGCAGTTATGTATCCACATCTAGCTTGGGCATAAGCAGCAAGGAACAAACAACAGGCTCCTGTAGAAAGGTCCTCCATTTGCAAGGGAAACCTCCAATAGCTTCCTGGAATCTCAAGACTAATTATAACTTTTCTTCATTGAAACTCAAGGCCATGACTACAACCTATTTCTCAAACCACCAGTGCCCAAAGTGGACATGAGGTCAGAGGGGCAGGACACAGTGAGGTTAGTCCTTCATGGAAATTACAAAATGCTGTATATACTCAAGGCTCCAAACTACCTGGAAAGTTCAACTTCTTTTGCTCCATAAAGAGCCAGCCAGCAGCACCTGGAACATTATTGGGTTTGCCACCATTCTAAGGAAACTAGATCCTAGTCTTCTGATGGAGGGGTTGAGTTCAGAAGGTTCAAGAAAAGCCAGAGCATAATGGAGTGGATTAGTGAGGCAGGAAGCCTGTGCCAGAGCTTGCTACCAGGAAGACACCGAGCCAGAAAATCCTGTAACCTGGGGGTAGGGGTGGGATACGTATTTGCTTTGAACAACAACAATAAAAACAAAACAACAACAACACTGATGACACCAAAAGATGATAGGAAGATGTCAGCGGGGCCATTTCCTGTTTCTCTCTCCCTCTTTCCCTCCCTCCCTTCGTTCCTTCTTTTTCTTAATATATTATGTTTTGTAACAAGGTTATCATTTTCCTTAGCAGAAGCACAGGCCAAGTGGAAGAGCAGTTCTGGCGGCCTCTCCAGGGCTGAACTCTCATCTGCCATGACCCACCTCCAAACCTTTCCTCACATCCCGAGGAACAGCTTTTTTATAATACTAATAGGAAAGTGGTTTTCTTAGAAGTTTGCTTTTCTTGAAACACTCTGTGGATGAGGAAAGATAATGGAAACATCACTCACAGTTGGGGTTGGCAACAGTGTGCTACCAATTTTTCCAATAGACGACACTTGGATGTAATAAGTCCCATGTGATTCTGGGGTTACGAAAGACAACAGGGGTGAGGGGAAGGAGTAGAGATGGCTAGAATAAGGTATCCATAAGGACTGGCAGCACAAGGGAAGGTCTTTGGAGTCAACAGCATAGGGTAAGAAAGTGCTTGTCCACACTGAGAAAGGACATTGAAGCCGCTGGAAGTTCAGAAGGCTCAAACTGAAGCCAGTTCTGCCAAGGGCTCTGGATTGTTAAAAAAAAAAAGACATGTCATCTAGGACCCTCAGGTGCCTAGGGAAACTCACTCCAGACCTCTCCAGTCCACATCCAAGACTAAACGCCTTCCCCTTGTCTTTGTCACTTCTCCCTTCTCTAAGAAAAACTAATTCTTCAAAGACTGACATCATAGGACAGTTTCAAAAACAATGGATGGTTTCATTCTTGTTCTAAGACAAAGATGATGTTCCCACCATGTTCTAAGGAGGCTCTCTGGTGGCAGGAGAGTTTCTGGGGACTCGGGCTCATAGCCCTGCAGACACTGGGAGTCCCAAAGCTAATAAGCCAGGGAGTGTTTCCAGGAATCCTGGATTTGGGGATCGAATATTTACTTGCTCAGCTCAGGAAGAAGCTGGTTCTCTGCAGAAATGAGTGAACCTGTGACACGGTACTCCCTGAACAATTTGAGATGTGCTATTTGTTAGAAGACACATTTGGCCCTTAGTGTGTGTTGGGAAGGGAAGAGCTTGATGCACATGGAAAAGCAAATGAGAAATTTAAATAGGCTTTGTTTTATGGGAGGCCTTTTATGTGAGATTTGAAAATCTCCTTCCCCACCACCACCAAAATACAAAAGCAAACAAGACAGTTGCACACTTTGTTTTCTGGCAAAGATCCTCGTCTTTGGAAGCCAAGACTTTCCAGCAAACAGAGTACCAGACTTTCCAAGGAAACAAACAAACAAAAAAGAACCAAGCTATTCCAGGACAGCCATGGGGACTCACCCTCTGTATCTAAAGAGAGAGGAGGGTTGCTGCCACACTGAGTCCAGAGGGAATAATTGAAGTAACAGAACCAAAGCATAAGTGCTGGTCCCTGGGTGTGCAAGATCATACCTTTTCCCACAAAGGGAGGAGGCATCTCAAGGGACACAATTCTCTGACAGAAGCCGGAGGACAGAAAGCCCCACTTTTCAAATCCTCTGAAAGGAGAGTGGCCTTTCTGGGAGCAGAATGATAATATATAGCCCCACATTGAGACAACTCCATAATTCCATCCTCTGTTACTGATTTAGAATACACGTAAATGAAAGTGGATAAGAATTAGCCTGTGACCTTTTTTTCCTGCAGATAGCAGGGCACCTTGTGCCCAGTCAGTGTTCCATTCACGCTGAAAATGGCATTACATAGAAAGCAAATTTGGTACCCATAACACTGTTATCCTCAAAGTGCTTTGCCAAATCTTAAACTGCTTTATCCTCACAACACCCCTGTGAGGTAGGTAAGCAATATTCTCGTGGCACAGAAAGAGAAATTGGCCCCAGAGTGACTTGACTTGGGTACATTTGCAAAAGGGCAGAGTCTTGCAATTTTCATCACCAATAACACAATCTGCACATGAGAAAGCACCATGCTTTTATTTAAATGCTTTCTCTGACCCTTTTGTTAAAACAAGGAAAATGCTTAAAAACATCACTCTATAAAATCAATTTCCTGTGTTTGACAAAAAATACACTTTGCTGTTTCTGCCCCAGGGAATTGGAAGCACTGACCAGCTGGATACCATTTCCTTCAGTATACTCCCAGAGTCCTGCCTCTTCCTTATCTCCTGCCTCCCATCCACTGAGGTTCTCTGGGGCTCCAAGTGTTCATCTTCGAGCTCCTGTTCATAAATGCTGCAGGATCCTTTCATGAGTAGGTAGGAGTATGGATGAGCACATGGACGCAGCAGGGGGTCTCTGTAATCCTTCCTTTTGGTCACCATCTGAAATACCTTGTGGGAACAAATAGGCCAGTGGGGTTGGCCTTGCTACACATAATCAGACAAACTCAAAGGAGCTATTCCTGACTTTCAGAGTGTGGCCTGTTGATCCTTTGCACCAAATAGCATTAACCTTGCAGATCAGACTAAGAACAGGTGGGAATGGAGTCAAACCAGGGCTCCATGGTCAAGGGCAGAAGAATTTGGCAGCAGTACCCAAGACCTGCCCTTGAGAGCACTCTGTTCCTCTGGCAAAGTCTCAGAAAGTGACCTTTCTTTCTTTATATATATATATATATATATATATATATATATATATGTATATATATATATATATATATTTGTGTGAGAATTTCTATACCAGAGTAGACCTGGTGAGGACCAAGTGGACTGATCCATGGGAACTGGAACTTGTATAGTTTTCTTTTGCAAGACTGTTCTTGGAACAAGTTTAGAATTGCTTTCATGGCAGCACCCCTGAGTGCTAATGTCTTCCATGGCTCCCACCTGCTCTCACTCTGGGTTAGGTCCTAAGAACAGTGAGGTTCTTAGGATGCCTCTGTTTTCTTGTTCCAAGTGTATCTTGGTATTTGAAACATTAACAGTCAAACCATAGGAAAAAACCAAAACCATGGGGGGGGGCAGAAAAAGAAATTGAACTTAAATTTTCCAATTCAAATTGTGAGGGGGGGAATATCCCAATTTAGAAAAAGATAAGAAAAACCAATAACAACTGCAACTGCATGCTGCTCTCCAGCCCCAGGTATCTCTGAAGTTCTGCCTGCAGGCTCCAAGAAAAGCACACCAGGGAGTGATGAAGACCTACCATGTGCACAAGCATTTGTAGCTGATGCGATAAGTGTTGGAAAAAACAGTTGGGCTTTCCATCCTCTGCAGGGGACCAGGGGGATGAGTCCATTTAAGAAGGGAAACCTCAAGGCTTTGAACAAAGGCAAGAGATACTTCCCAAAGAGCTTTTGGCCACCTCCACACCATCTCCAGACCCTCTCTGCTCATTCCACTGCCTATCTGTCAGATATTCAGTAAGTATCAATTTCCAGAAGCAGACTCCCTTGTATTTTCCTTGTTCTTTCAGGAAAAACAAACATCATGGTACTTAAGAACTGACAAATGCCCAGCAGGAGTCAGGTGACCAGATGTCCCCCACCAGATGCTACTGTACAGAGTTAATAGTGCTGTGATATGTCTGCCTACTCCAGGGCTCTCTCTCGCTGTCCACATGTCTTTCTTGCTCACCGCCTGGGCTTCTGGGTGCCAAGTGTATCTGAAACCCCCTCTTTCTCCATACCTCTATTTCCCAAAGAATGGGGTCACCCTTCTTCCCATGAGATGCCTTCATGACCAGCAGCATTGACTGAATCATCAGAGCATCCCTGAGCAGGAGGGAAGGCAGAGTGTCCTGTTTTTCATCCACTTTACCGATGGAGAAAACAAGGCACCAAGAGGTGAAGTGAGCTACCCATGGTCACAGTGGAGCCTTGAATCATCCTGTAGCCATTCTTGGTCTTTCTAGCTTTAGGCAAAGCACCTAGGAAGTATGAAGCTAAAATGAGACTCCAAGCCTGAGGGCCCCAGGGCTACATTGAGGATGGACCAGAGTCAAACGGCTGACTGCTGGTTGCTATCCACAGTGACAGATGGCCAAAGGTTACTTAGAGACAGGTGCTCTCCCAGTTATCAGCCAGCACTCTACCAAGAGCAAAGTCATAAATATATTTTCTCCCTTGGATTGAGGGTGATGATCTAGAAGCTATCCTCCCTGAAGGCTGGAACTTTGACTTCTGACTGACTTCAGTTTGAGGAGGGGAGCAGGGACTCCTGCTGGGGACCTGCCAGGACAGCATCTCCTACTTGGACATTCACATTTTTCTTCATGCAATGGGCATCCCAGGGCAGCTGTCCCTAGGTCCTGCCTACTCCTGTTCCTGTGGTCTATTCTTAGCCCTTGACACAGGTGTTGGCCTGGAGAAGGAGGATCGCCTGCAGAGGCAGTCTGTCTGCTGCTATGGAGCCATCATTAATAGCACTCATGACCTTTGGCTCCAGAACACTCCTGCTGTGCCCTGACAGTCACTGTGAAGAAAGATACAGAGAGGAACAAGATGATGCCTGGGAGCTGAGTAAGGCAGAAAGAGCCAGTTGGTCAGAGGAGAAAGCTGGGACTAGGTCAAGTCAATATCTTCTGATATTCAGCCAATAGCAACAGATGGTGAGAGAGACAGGAAACTTTAGACCAGCCAGAGATGGGGAGGGTAAGGAAAACTTTGTCACTACATCTTTCCTTCCCTCAAGGAAAGGCTTAGAGAAAACCTATAAGAAAATGGGCTTGCCTTTTACATTTCAAAGTTGAGACAGGCACATGCTGACTTAGGATGCTCTTATGAGCTGATAAGGCTGTAGCTTGCAGTTGAATCACCATTACCAATGCCACATCCCAGAGGCTGGGCTGTAGATGAGAAAGGAAGGCTGCCCAAACTGGGACAGAGCTCAGTATGAGGAGAGGAGATAGGATAAGGACAAACTGGAACCTGGAGGAGGCAACCATACTGCCCATCTCATGCCCACCTGGACCTTGATGAAAGAAAGAACCAAGGCTGAGACTAGCTTCCTTCCTGCAGGAGGTGATGTTGCGCCTTGAGAAGACCTGAGCCCAGGAATTGGCTGGTGTTTGATAAGCAGTGTCTAGAACTGCTCTCTGGGAGGCTATTTGGGTGCTTGAGGAGACTGACTCCTCAGAGTCCTCTCCTTCTCCCCTTCTCCAATGTACTGTCTTTCCCAGGATTCCATGGGGCATGCTCAGATTTCCCTGGCAGTTTTCCAAGTGCCACTTGGATCCTTGGAATTACACTGACTTCACTTCCCCTTACATGTCAAATTTGAATCCCATGCCCCCAGCCAAATCTCCTCTAAACTCCTTCTCTACACCAGGGGCCCAAACCTGCACAAAGAAGTCATCTTTCTCTGCTCCAAGGTAATGGGTAGAGACATTTTTTCTCAGGATCAGAATCATCAAAGCTTGGGATTCATGAGAGACCCAGTTAATGAGGCATGGAATAGACAAGGAGGGAAGAAATCATGAGTTATTTTTGGGCATGAGGAACTGCAAAGGGAACTCAGAGGCAAGTGAAGAGGGGCACCCGACATTCCCAGAGCTGCTCAGAAGGAGACAAACATCTGGGATGACAACAGGTCAGGCTGAAGAAGAATGGAGAAAGTGATATGATTTGGTGATTTAAGGTATTATATATTTTTCTGAAAATTGGAACACAAAAAAATAGGGTACAGGGTCCTCCAGGCTACAGAGGGATATGTCTTCCCTTGATTAGGGCAGTTAGGAAATATGGATCCTAATGTCTTCTGGCCCCCAATATATTTGGGCTTTGTGTATTCCTCCTAACATCTCTGATTCCAATTATGGGACAAGTCTGACCTTAAAGAGCAGGGGGATACTTCGTAGAGATAGATTGTGCTTGAGATATCAGAAATTCTGGGGCAAGTGGAGTCAATGGGAGCAGATTTGATGGGTTGAGATCCTCTTAACTTCCCCTATCATGTCCTTGAGAGAACTGAAGAATCCCAAGGCAGAGCGCCACCCAAGTTTGGTGGGGCAGAGGGGAGGCTTGCAGAAACAATTGTAACAGTATTAGTCTCGGTGCACTGATAGGACCGTATTTCTTAGAACAAGAGAAAAAGCCAACTGTTCTGTGTGCTTAGAGGAATGAAATATGGAAGTCTACAGGCATGATCTGTGGTGGGGGACAATATGAAAAGAAAGAACAAGGTACCAAAAGGCTTATTTACCAAAGCTAAATATTAGGAGTTGGTTATTTGCCATCAAGAGGTCCGGGGAAAGAGATAGGTGTGGAGATTATTTCGCAAGCACTATAGGCTGCAGTTGGGGAAAACTTAGGTGAATTTGTTTACTCATGGAAAGAAAGGTTGTTGGGAACCCAGACACCTGTCAGTCTGAAAGCAGATTGCCAGGGTGGGGTGAGGACACTGTGCCTCGGTGCAGTGGTCCCGCTGTAGGGTGCCGAGGTCATTTGGAAGGAAGACACTGAGAGTGTGTAAAGTCCGTTAGTGACAACTGGGAAGTCAGCCAGCCACCAAGGACACTAGGAGGCTTCGTGGGAAGTAATGCCTAATCACAAAGGAGACTGGAAATGGGGCTCCATAAGACGATGAGGGCAATGCTACCAGAGGAACCAGATCTCTCAGTCCTTGCTCCCTGCTGACTTGTCCTCTGCTTCTTGGCTCTCTTTCCAGCCTTTGTCTTGTCTCTCTGGTCTTCCCGGCTACTGCCCACAGATGTGCACTTTCAGTTGCATTATCGGGGAAGGTAAGGCATGATGGAAGAGGGGGACAGGTGTGCTACTGAAGAAGGAAAGGAGCTCAAACCCACCAAGGCTGAAGCAAGGGCTGGCGAGATGCCATAACTCCTTCCCTCTTCACTGCGCATAGCTAGGGTTCCCCTATGCTGGAAACTGTTTCCCCAACTTTGGATGTTCCCAGCCAGTAGCCATGATTTCTAGGTTTTGTGTAAACATGAACACGTGTGCTTGTGCACCTGTGCTAAAGATAGAGTGGTCACACACAGGTGGCAGACTACAGCCAATGGTGAAATCAAAGAGCAAGAGATAAAATGGAAACGTGTCTAAGACCAGTCAAACAAGCAGAATGACAGAGAACCAGAGGGCACACAGAGCCCAAGACCTGAGACACACAAGACTTGGGATCTGAGCTGGCCAAAGGAATGCCCTGTCACTCCATAAATGGACTCTTCTTCCCCAATCTGAGCAGAGCCTGGACCGGAGCTTGGTGACAGAGCCGCGGTGGGCACAGAGGATTAGAGTGAACTGGTCTGGTAGGGAGTTCCCTTTGTTCACCGTTCTCACACACAGCTCCAAGCAGCCCCTCTCTCCCTGGCTTGCTCTCTGCCAGGCAGAGGCAGTCAGCTGGCCTTCACCTCAGCCCAAGTGTGCTCTGTTGCATCCTGCTTCCCATCTTAGGACAGTCCTGCGAAATTGTGGTAACATATGAGATAAGGAAGTGGGACAAAGGAGGGAGCATTTAGTTTCACAATTAATATATGTTTTAAGGTTTAAGGGAAAAAAGAAGATTCAGATAAACCATAAGGGGTGACAAGGTGGGGCTTTTTTGAATAGTTATTTCAAATAAAAATTTAAAAATTCATCAAACATAAAAAGAATTCCTCAGTTTTTGAATTTCTCTTAAGTATAGCTCAGTGTGAGGTCTTGCACCCTGAACAGTTACATCCAGAATTAAAAAACAATCACAACCACAGACAACAAAGACTAACAGTATGTACTTAAAAATACTGTGTATGTATATATAGATATATATATATATTTACACATATATATCTTTTGCGGAGATATTTTTTCTTTTTATGATTAATTTTCTTTTTCCTTTTTTTCTTTTTTTTTCTTTTTTTGTGTGTGCCCAAGTAGAGATAGAATGGTATCGAAATAATACCTTAAAACAGAAATACTCTTTAAAGGAACAGTACCTTCCAAAAACAAATTAAAAATTTTACAAATGGTCAGACATACTTGTGACACCTCCAGAAATTCACCTTGGCATAGCGAGAAAATAAACAGCTGACTCAAATCCTCACCAAAGCCACAGGCCTGGAAGGACAGCCTCTGCTGCTGGGGTGGGGCTCTGCTCTCCAGGTGGGTGGTCACATACAGATGTCACTTTTTCCACCTCCCCATCCAGCTCCTCACAGTTCCCTCTCCCAGTTACCACAGCATCGGCCTCACTTCAGTTTTGTGTATTTCTAGCAAGACCTTGAAGCAGGTGTACACACATGCACACACACACACATACACACACACACACACACACACACACACACACACGCACACACACACACACGCACTCACATACACACAGTCCATTCACCCCAAATGCACCAGGCTGAATGACTCTCAGCCAACCACACTGACAGAAGCACCAGTCTGTGAAATGTGTCGATTGATACGATTTGACTTTTTTTTATAGATAGATAGATAGATACTCTAATGATCCTCTTTATGTTATTTTTTTTCAAAAGCACAAATGAAAAATTCTTTCCAGATCAATTTAAGGCTTCCCACCAAATGAAAAGAGAAGAGACCTTCTGCACTGTCACACCTCTCTCTCTCTCTCTCTCTCTCTCTCTCTCTCTCTCTCTCTCTCTCTCTCTCTCTCTCACACACACACACACACACACACACACACACACCCTTCTCAGCCTTAAAATGACGGAAGAGATCACTGTCGCCAGTCATGGACTAAATATTGTGCCTTTAAATTGATGTCGTCCTTTTTGCTACCATGCTGAGTTTTATCATTACTGATTCTCTTTGATGGTATTTATGGACACTTCCTATGATCTGTTTTTAGAATTTACCGAATTGGGTGTTTGGGGCTTTCATTCTTGTTTTGTCTTTTTTTAATTAATTTTTTTGCATGGGAAAACAATGTATAATTCTTGTTAGGCAAACGTTAAAATGGCACATAGTCAGCCTTCGAGTAGCTTTTCTGGCCAGTGGAGATCCAAGTAGCCCTTTAGCTTCTAGAAGGCTTTGAAAAATAGGGAAGGGGCAAGAGAAACTGAATAAAGAGGGGTTCCTATGCCTTTGCTTTTGGTCAATTTGTTTGTTTGTTTGCTTTTCAATACAAATCATCAGATAGGAAGGATTGTTTTGGTATGGTATCTGTTTGCTGTTTTGATTTGTTTGCTCTATTGGTAGATTTTTGTTTCATTTGATTATTTAATTTTTTTTCTCTCCTGGTGCAAAAGTTGCCAGAGAGTTTTGTGTGAGAAAACATGACAGTACCTAAAGGAACTCAGCACCTAAGGGCATAAGGCAGTTGAAGGTTTTTGTTTGTTTGTTTGTTTGTTGTTTTGTTTTGTTTTGTTCTCTCAATCAGCACCAATCCCATAAATGATCTACACTTGGTGTAAAGTAGAAAACTTCTTTTGTTTGTTTCTTTTGGAGAGAAGGTAGCGCCTCCTTCTCCACCCTAGGAACTGTAGTGTGGGATTATTTTTTCCAATACTGTTTCTTATGTGTAAAAAACAAAAGAAAGGTTTCCTTTTTGTTTTTACTTAGAAAACATAGAGAATATCTTTGTATACATATAGTGACTGGAAAGAAAGCTTATCTGAAGGGGGTGTGACTTATTGATCTTTTGTAGTGTTGGTGGTGTTGGTGTTGGTGGTGGTGGTGGTGGTGGTGGTTCTGTGTATTGGGGGAAGGGAGGGTTATATTTCTTGCAGGCGGTGTTGACCGCAACCAAGCTTAAGGTCCCCTTCTCAATCTGGGTCAAGGTGTTCTAGAGTGAAGACTCATACTGCAGCAGCTCATAGAGCAGAGGCCCATCTCGGTAGCGAATGCCCACTGCGGTAGGGGTGACGTACTGCAGGATGTTAATAGTCCTCCGCAGCCTCCTGTCTACAAAGTGCGCATCCCAGGCTGGGTACCGCTTTCTTGGCATGTCAATCTTAATCAGGGGCCCTTCTGGGTGGTAAGGACGCCCTGATGGGGTGGAGGGCCCCATGGGTCTCACTTGGAATACGGGCAGGCAAGTGTCGGCCGTGAGGTCCTCCTGCTGTTCCGTCACGGCTCTGGTGGGAGTGACCTGGGTCCCCCGGTACCCAGGGGTCTGAGGTGCCATAGGCTCAACATCAGGGGGCAAAGGGATGCCCCAGAGCAGCTCGGCACAACAGGAGCTGGCAAAGACCTTAGCCCGCGGCCCCATGGGATGCAACACGCCATAGTATAAGAGCATGAGCGCAATCCCAGCCACAAAGCTAACGAAGACACAACACAGTGCTGGCACGGCATAGGAGTCAGTGTTCTCCGGGTTTCTGTAAAAATACCAAAGGAACGTCAAGGCAGCATTCTCGGTCAAGACTATCGTATAGTATGCGAACATTCGGTATCGAGTCCGCCCTTCCTTGACGTTAAACCAGCAGAAAATGTACACGATCCCTACCACCATGTTGAAGAGGATCTCCTCCCACTTGGACATGCAGAAGTCTGTCCCTCCATGGATGATCCAGAAGGCCATGGCGCACCAGTGCACCACCACGAAGATCCCGAAATACAGCTGGAAGATGGAAGCAAAGAGGGCGAAAGAGATAACTCGGGATGAGATGGTGAAGAGGCGCCAGAAGAGGTGGATGAGGGCCCCTCTATAACTCATGCTCTTCTTGTCGTCCCTGGAGTCCCGCAGCAGCTTGTGATAGGAGGCTAGCACCCAAGCCAGGGACATCAGGGAAGTCACAGAGGAGACACCTGCCAAAAAGACATAAACCCACACAGTTAAAACCTCGGATGTCTAATGTGGACACAGTGGGACTCTCAGCTGAGGAGAGCCCCCCCCACAGTCTAGAGGAGAAGGAGAGAAAAACAAAATCAGGCACTGGACCAATGGATGTTTGTGAACAAATCAATCAAATGAAATGACAATGATAGTTACTGGCTATGGTCCAATCTACCCATGAACAAGTAAGTGCAAGAGGTTGCATAATGTCCTCTTACACAGGATTCCTCCATCATCCCTGAATTCCTCATACACAGTCCCAATGAGCATCTAGCACCCCCTTGTGGGGTACTTCCTAAAATTCAGAACCAAATGCATCTGGGGACCCAGGTATCACCTCATTGATGGTCTCACAAACATGACTCCCCTATTATAGTCTTCCAAGCCAAAATCAGCGCTACGCTACCCATTAGTGTTGAAATCAGATCCAAGCACTCAGAAGACCAAGAAAGATGCCTCAGGCCCTTCCACTAGTGTCCCTGCATGCTACCTCACAGTGATCCAAATTTCAAGGAGGAACCGAAGTCCTTCTTTCTTGCTGGTTCCAGAAGCATGAGCCTGCCTATTTCACAAATCTCCCTCCTTCCCTCCCCTTTGAGTCTCAGACTGTAAAATAGTATGTCAGGAGCTGTAGCAAACCTAGCATATGGGCAGCACACAGGGAACATTGAGCATCTAAAGGTCTGATGGCCACCAGGAGCGTGTGCTGCTGCTCACCTCAATGAAGATACAAAACAAACAGGAGGGATGAGGCAGGAACCCAACTTCGCCATGGAAACCAATTGAAAAAATATCCTGAGAGCAGTGATGGTGGATTTTCATGCAACTTCTCTGGAAACTTCTATAACGGATACTTGAATGTCCTGCCTGCTTGTCCTACACACAAGGCATCTGGTCTGTATCCTGGTCTGTATCACACATGGTTGGTGATCCAAACAATCAGAAGTAGGTTGTGTTCTGGCTGCTAGGGTGGAATAGGAAGGGCAGGTCGTCATAAGATTCACTTGACTTGGGTGTAGGTTTCCAGAGGGCAGGGAGAAGGAAGTCACACCATTGTAGCTTGTGTCAGACTTAGTCCCTGGGACACTCTCGGGAAGTCCCTTTCAAACATCCTTGTGACCTCACTGCCACCTGACTAGCCAGCCAGCCAGCCAGCCAGCCTGCCTGCCTGCCTGCCTCCCTCCCTCCATTTTTTTCTTGAATTGGAGTGTTTCTAAGTAACCTAAGTTGGTCTCAAACTCACCACTGTAGCTCAGGTTTGTTTGGAACTCTGAATCATCCTGCCTCAATCTCTAGAGTTCTAACAACTGAACTCATTCATTTTTGTTTCTGTGCATGCACAGGTGGATGTGTGTGTGTGTGTGTGTGTACATATATTCATGTCTCTCTGTGTATAGGCATGCACAGACATGTGTCCAAGCATATAGAGACCAGAGATTAACATCAAGTGATATTCCTTAGGAGTTCCTAAGCTGTACACTTTATGTTTTGAGGCAGGTCCTCTCATTGGGACCTGAGGTTACTAAGAAGACTAGGCTGGCTGGCTAGTGACCTCCATGGATGCACTTGTATCTATACCCCTACCACTGGAATTACAAGGCTTTTTATGTGATGCTGAGGATCAAATTGACATTCTCATGCTTGTATGGTAAACACTTGATTGACTAAACCAGCTTCCCAGCCCCAAACTCATTTCTTATTCTCTCCCTCCCCTGTCTCTCTTTTTCTCCCTCTCTGTCTCTCTCTTCCTCCATCCCTTCCTTTTTCTTTTGTTTGTTTGGTTTCTCAAGACAGGGTTTATCTGTGTAACAGCCCTGTTCTTGTTTTGTAGACCAGACTGGCCTCAAACTCACAGAGATCCATTTGCCTCTGCCTCTCCAGTGCTGAGATTAAATTAGTGTGTCACCATGCCCAGCTTTGAACTATTCTCTGTCTCTCATTCATTCATTCATTCGTTCATTCAATTTTCAAGACAGGGTTTCTCTGTGTAGTCCTAGCTGTCCTGGAACTCACTCTGTAGACGAGGCTGTCCTAGAACTCACACAGATCCACTGCCTTTGCCTCCTGAGTGCTGAGATTAAAAGTGTGCACCACCACTGCCAAGGTTGAATTCATGTCTTGGTGCTAATATTTAATCACCTGCTGGGAACTTCACAACTTGGCCGTGAGAAAGGCTTTTTATGGAAGTTAAGTGGGAGGAAGGTTTGATTTGGGTTCCTTCTAACACAGTGTAAACTGTTACTGTCCCTATTACTTTCTACTCAGCACTTGCCAGAGCATGGTCTCAATTTGTTTATTCTAAGCGTGACTTTGAATAGAGTTGGGGTGCCAGAGCAGGACAGCCTTTGGCCTGCACAGCTCTAGTTCTACTACTCTGTGTGTGGTGACATGTTCCCATTCTGTGTACAGGACTTCTTGGTGTGCTCTGCCCACCAGCAACAGCCAAATACCAGGCTCCACCTCCCTGTCTCCAGGCTATCCCTGCCTCCTCCTGGTCCACCGCTGCCTGCCGCCTGAAGCTTTGCTCTTTTGCCTTGTCTTCTCTGTTTAGCACTGGCTGTCCTGGAACTCATTCCGCAGATCAGAACTCAGAGCTCTGCAGCACCACTGCCCCGCCCTGAGGCTTTATACCTGTCTCACCCTTGGTGGCACTGATGTTGCTGGTTCTACGATGGGTCTTCTGGGTTTTCCCTGCAGAGCATGGTGCAGATGTTCTTGAAACACTGCGCAGCATATCACCAGCTTATCGGGAGATGGTCATATGGGATGGAGAAGCAAAGCTCACGGGGAGTGCTAAGCAATGACAGGCAGCCATGGTCTCATCTCACAATTTCAGTTATTTCTCACTTGGTAAAGTCTAGAATTGCCACGTGGCTTTTGGAAGAGGAGTTCCTCATACATGCTTCTCAACCTGCTCAGCCCCCGGCAAGCCTTGCCCAAGGTTGCTCTGAGGCCCAGTGACCATGAGACATGGGATAGCATTTGCCCTGCTACCTGGTGCTGCTTGGCTGATGTGGTCTCTCCTCCCCCTTGTCCTTCTGAAAGCTGAGCTTTTTTTTTAAGTTCCCAAGGTCATTTGTAATGAAGGTCATTGGCCTGCTTCAATAGCACAACCTGTTCTACTTCCTAGCCATTGACTCCTTGGGGCCTGGAATGGCAGGATTTGTCTTTGGGGGTACAGATAGGCCCCTAGATCAAAGGGCTTGCTAGAGCCTGGGAGTGGGAGTGTCTGGCAGGTTTGGGGTGTGAAGATGACCTCACACCCACATAAAGCAGGGATTGGGGAGGGAGAGGGCAGCCCGGAGACATCCAGACCCTCACTTCTGCCACTTTGACCATAAAGAGACCCCCTGCTCTCCTGAAGGCACTGGCTCATCTCTTTCATCCAAAGTTAGTGGTGGCCAAAGGCCTTAGTCCTTATCAGTGAAGAGCTGAGAAGAACCAGGCTCATAGGACTCCATGCAGGAAAAGGTTTCTCTGTGTGTGTGCTCACTAGACAGCGACCTTTACTCCAGCAATTGACAAAATGTCTAGTATTACAACTGAGTTTGGATGAGTTCCTTGGGGATGGGTTGAAAATAGGCCTATCTGATACCTGTAACACTGGATCTTAGTATGGAGGACAAAGGTGCAGGAGACTAGACATGGGATTGGACTTTGAAAGTGACACATACCTCAAAGCTCCTAGACACTGGTGGTCTTTGTGAGGGGCTGAGTTGAGTGATGGAAAAGTAGGCATGTATATTTGGACCTTTCTGGAGAAGAGAATGCAGGCTCTGTAGGAACCAATCGGAGGCTCTTAAAGCCCCTCAGCCTTCCTTAGCAGACTAATACCCAGACCACAAAGAAAGCAGTGGTCCTCACAGAATCCTTTGTGACCACTGTCCCATCAGGTGATTAATCTGGGGCTACAGTGTGCTCTATTACCTGCAGGAAGTGCAGGGTCATCACCCTGCTGTGGCTGGCTCCCTGGGAAGATTTCCATTCCTGAGGCCAAACCAAAGATCAATGTTTCCCTGGGCAACACAAGCTCTCAGGAGACTCCCGAGGCCCCAGGAAACTGCCCAGCTACACCTGGGAATATCCAAGGTTTCTCACTCAGAGTTTGGCCACTTGGTACATGCCAAAGATCAGGCCGGAGACTGCTAAATGTTTAGTGACGACAAGTTAGTAGCAGTGAGCCTCGTGGCTTGCTCACTGTCCTGATGCAGAGCAGGAAGTAAGTTTGTGGTCACAAGGCACTTGTCTCCACAAACACTCCAGAATAGCCCGTGGCTGCTCCCCAGAGCCCCACAGCCCACAGGCAGCAAGGAGAAATTAATCATAGGCCCTCGAAGCCGTAGAATTGCCCAGGCTTCCAAACCACTGCATGTTAGCCTGCATGACTGATGGGCCACATCCCTTCAATACAACGGTGGTCCTTAGATGGACCTCCACGGCTCCATTCAGTTTAGGCTGCCTCAGAGTTACACATGCACCTGCCAGCTTCCTGCCTGCACCTCTTAGCAGTCCATCTCCAGAAGGCCCAGAGCCCCCCCCCATAAGCCCCTTTGTCCTCTCAGGAGTCTCCCCATGTCAGTCCCTCCAGGATCACTGCACCCCAGGGCGTTGTCTCTGCTTGAGTTTTCCTTCCCCGGTATTCACACATTTGTAGCCAAATGTCACCTCACTGAGACCTTTACCCAGAGATCAGCTTCTTGACCCCCAAACACCACCTTCACCACACACTCCCATGCCTTCCCGCTTCCCTGTTTATTCTCTACCTGTCATACACACATGCCAAATCTCCTTTTCTGCTTCACTGGTGGGTAAAGGCTAGCTCCCGAGGGCAGGGCCGAACTTTGAGGGGTTTCTCTAGAATTATGCTTTTGTACGTGCAAGGGTCCCCAACTAGCATCAGATTCTGCACTATGTATCCAAGGAAGGAGTTTGATCCACTCAGCCTTCACAATCTCCTACTTGCCTTAACTGT